TTAGTCTATGGTGTTATATCACCATAACCTACTGTAAACATAGTTACAGTAGAATAATAAAATGAATATAAATATTGATCAGCAAAAGATTTATCTAAAACAGATTTTGCTTCTAACCAACTAATACCTAAATATGTTTCACTATAAAGTCCAACCCAAAACCATAAGCATGCAAATACATGTATAACAAAAAACAATAAAAAAAATAGTTTTGAAAGTTCCACCAAAGATGCTGCTTCTCTTGACAAATTTAATGCATCTTCTAATTGTTATCTTAATTATGAAATATTCTTATATTGAACAAATTATAGAAATAGAAATATATAATAAGGATTTTCAAATACATTAAATCCATAATCATATTGATTAGAGATATTATAAAATATTATTAGTAGAATGTTTGCTATCATTTCAAAGCCATATGCTTTACCTATCTAATGTTTTAATATACTCATTCTATCTGTTACCAATTATCCTTGATTATAATATGATTAGAATAAACAAACAAAAAAATCCATTATCAAAAGTGTTATACATATTACTGTTGGAACTTCTAAAGTATAAAATAATAATTATATAGATGGCCAAGCTAAATCTATTGGAATTGTAAAAAGCAAATAAAATCTGCAAATAAATAGAATACTGTCCCAAACTACTTTCATCTTTGAATCTGGTTTAATTAATGGAATTTTTTGTATTAGACCATAAAATCTTTACATTTAACTTCCTATAAATATTTTTGTTCTCTACATAAGCAATTACTTTCTTCTAAAATTATTATTACTTTAATTTTTACTGTTGATTCCCTAAATGAGCTTAGGTATTTTCTTGTAAACTTTAAATTAATGGTTTTATTGTTATTCCATATTTTCTAAAGCCAACATCATCTAGAGAAGATGCTTTATCATTAATCACTTATAAATGATATTTAGTGATTTTAAATATCAATCTTCTTTTGGCAAGAATTTAATGGATAAATTATCTTATATGTAAAAGTTAAACTAATTTTGCAAAACCTTTTTTTGGTTCTAATTTCCTTCTAAATTCTTCTTCCTTTAATTTCTCTTATTCATGATGTTCAATCAATACTTAAGGTATTTCAAATACTTTCTTTGAATCTTCTTGACTTTAACTTACTTCACTTATACTTACACTAACATTTGGAACTTCCTATTCAACCTAATATGACTATATAAATATTTGATCTTCATCAAGAGGCTCCTCAGTACAGAGAATTGGTCTATTTTTTAACATTTAATAATATTTCTTCTTTATAACATAATATAAATTAACTGAATGTAATATTCTGAAACTCATTCTGTAAAAGTTGGCACTAAAGGATCGAATCCAAGTTCTTCAACAGGAATAACAAACTCAGCTAATTTACCATCATAAGCTTTAACCATATGAGAATGAGCCTTTCTTATTTAAGTTAGTTATTATTGTAATTCAGCTATATGGGCTGATTTTTATACATCAATTTCTTAATATTATCTTGTGATTACATCTAAAAATATATATTATAAATTACTAATAGTGTTTTAATCAATATTTGCTCCTTGTAATACTTAATTCAATTATAATTCTTTAATTTCAAGTTCTTCTTATATTGCAGATGTTTTCTTTTCCAAAATTAGATTCTATTATAATAATATATAATTTATACTTATAAACCAGTTTTTTATTATATAAATTGAATTGTTTAATTAAATTTGTCTTCAAGAGATTTTCTTTCTCTCTCCATATATTAAAAATGTTATAATTTAACTTCATATTCATATTCTAAATTTCTAAATTTCTTTTCAAGTTCATCTATTTTTAATTTCAATTATTCTTTTTATTATACAACTTGAGCTTATTCTTCTTTTTCTTTAATTAAAAATTTAATTTCTTCTTTAATAGCTTTTAGTGGTTCATTTAAATTTTTAGATTCATTTTCAATTGATTATAATAATTTTTTATCTTTTTCTTCTTTTTTTTAATGATCTGTAATCTCATTCTTTAAACTCTTAATCATATCTAAATTAGTAGCAGTAATATCAGAATAATAATTTTTAATTTCTGTATATTTTTTTGAATGTTCTTTAGTTAATTATTATATTCTAAGATCCTTTTTTTCTTAAAGAATTTTAATAAGATTATTTCTTGCTTCTTCCATTTCTCTTCTTAGTTTTTCCATTTTTAAATGATACTTCTCTTTTAAATCATTTGCTTATCTTTCAAAATTCTATCTCAATTAAGTAGCTTAACGATCATATTCTGTTTTAAGTGCAAACATATAATCATTTTATGCTAAATCAGCTTCTTTCTATTAAACTTTCAAAGATCGAATATCAGTCTTCAATTCTCTATCCTTCATTCTATGATCATCCTCTAATTATTTTAATGTGACTTCTACATCCTTTCTTAAATCACTTTACTAATCCTAATTTTAAAATAACAGATGCTTAATTCTATAAAATATAATTAAATCTTACTTTTATTTATAAAGATTCAATTACATAAAGTGATTCTCCTTTAAATCTTAAATTTCCCTTTCTTTGTTAATAAAATCACTTTTTTTATCATCCAATTCCTTTTTAGCAATGATCCAGTTGTAATTTATCTTTTCTCTTTCTTATTAATATTAAGAAAGTAATTTCTCCTCTGCATCTATATCTGTTTTAAGTAATCTAATTTCTTCTCTCATTTATTTCTAAAGGAGTTTCAAAATTATAATACCTTATACGCCTCATTTTCAACATCGTTAACTTATTTAGCTTTATTTTAAGCTTCCTATTCTGCTTCTATAAATGATAAATGAAAGAAGTATACTTGATAATTATGGTTTAGCATCTGCTGGCTTAGGTTTATTCTTACTCATTCAAATAATTATATTTATTTATAAATTCTCATTAATATTATATTATTATAAATAATAAAGAAAATTTTCTATATTTAAATACTAATTATAAGATATATGAACATCTTAAAATCAAACAAGCAATGTAGCATTAATACATCCATCTAATTCAGGATTATTTGTTACTTAAGCATATTTACTCCAAATCACTTTACCAGTTTATGTTACTAAACCTAATTCACTTACATTGACTTCAACAACAGTTCCTTTTGTTATTACACCAAGTGTAGTATATAATGCTGATTATGGATTTTTCTTAACTCCCAATAAAGGTAAACTAAATGTTGTTTTTAGTTCAGGATGAGTAACATTTGCTTTCTTAAAACGAAGTCCTGTAGGTCTAATATATCTTTCAAATTTAGGAGGTTTACGAGTAAATGTTTCTGGAACAAAACATACCTTATTTATTCTTCTTTTCCAAGACTTTTATTTTCTTTTTCCACTCTCAATTACTTAAAACATCTCTCCTTCTGACATTTATTTAACCTTTGCTATAGGAACATCCCATTTACCTGCTTTCTCTTATCTAATAATTAAATAATATAATCTACCTTTTTTATTTAAGCATGTTTGTCAATACCTTTGATTATTATTATTATTCTCTATCTAATAAATATGTAGGAACAGCTCCATCTTTAACATCTTCAACATTGACTTCAATATCTTTCTCTTCATGAGCTAACATTTATTTCTTCATCAATGCCTTCTCCTTAAATCTTTCCTTGTTAAACATTTTGGCCTTTAAAATATTTTCATTTTATATACTTTGAGACCCTTAAGATTTTATGCTTTCTCTGCCAATTCATGAGGTTGTCTAGCTGCCTTCTTTCTTGCTCTTTCTTCTGTATCAAGTCTTTTTCCAAATCTTTTTTGATGAAGTTCAATATAATCGTGTTGTGGCATTATAAATCACAAGTTTTAATAATTAAAAATTTATTAAAATTTAATCATTCATATTTTTACATTTATTATTTTTAATCAATTCTTCCTATTTATAATGTTAATAATAATAAATCATATAAAAATACTAAAATCATTCCTTATTATATTTTATCTTTTAATACTAGTAAAATAATTTATAAAATTTATCTTGTATAATTCCTATAAATTTTTAATTATTGTCAATTAAATCTTCCTACTTTAAAATAATATTCCTTTCTATTGATAATCTCTAATATTAAAATAATCTCCATCACTTCAAGTTTTACACTTTTTCAATCTCCAATCATAAATGAACTATTATTATTTACTCAAGTAAATTCCATTTATAAAAGTCAATATTGATTTCTCATTTTGATTTCATATAGTCTTAGAAACAATCACTATTTTCTTCTTATTTTTATACTTAAATTCTCAACAATCATAAATTATATTCAATGTCAATTACATTAAGACAAGCAAGTTATTAAGTGTACTATAAGAGATTTCAAAGTACATTCCCAAAACTTCTAATTTGACATACAATTTTGATAAATGATATCACAACATTGATTCATTAAATTTTATACTCATTATTAATCATTAGGTATTTTAACGTATTTCTAAACCAGACTTGATTCAATAAAACTCTTGATAGATAAAACGCTGCAAAATGTCCTATGCCTATGAAGCATCCTGCAATAGCTGGGTATAAAATCCAATATTTTAAAAACATTAATTTTTATAAATATACTTTTTTTATCATTTATATTTCCCATTAATCTTTTTCTAAGCATTTTTTACAAATTTATGTTTAAGAACATTTGAGATACTCATTTGTAATATAATATTAAAAATACATCTAAATTTTAATGAAAATTTTTATAATTATTTATCAATTGATATTTTGCATTCTACACTTAGTTTTCAAATAGATATCATTGTTATAATAATTAAAGTTTAAAAAATAAAGAGAGTTTTATTAATACCATTTAATAGTTTTTGTGCTAAAGATTCAAGAATATTTGAGGAATAAAATTGAAGGGTAACACTATTTTTTGTGTGAAAAAGAAATTTTGTTAAATTGATATGTTTTCCCGGCTTTTTAGTTATTGATGTAAATAAATAGAATACAAATCGAAGTGTGTTAATATATATATAAAAAAAAGTTTGAAATTACGAAAAATGTATGAGGATAGGTTTTCTGTTTTAAAATAACAAAAATGTGTATAAAAACAATGTTTGATTGTAAATAATTAAATTAGTAACCAAGAACTTGAAAGTGTGTAACTGGTAAATTAATATTCTATCAATATTAGATTCATACAATATAATCTCCATTATCCGGCAATTCTTTATGTTCAACTGACAATAGTTCATTAATTAAATCAAATGAAAAAATGATAGAAGAACCACTATTTGATGAATAATTTGAATTGATCTTCTCTAATTTAGACAATTAGGAATACTATAGATAAACTCTTGTATTTAATACTTGTATAACATTAATAGATATTTTTTAGTATAAGAATTAAAATAAGCAATAGCAAGGATTAAACAATCATATGATGGATTAGTTATGCCCATAAATGAAATTTAAATTGATAAAGAGTTTGATGACACCTATAAGTTAAGAATAATTGTAATTTAAATTAAGTAAAATTAGACTAGAAAATTTATTCATCATAATTTTACAATTAATATAAGAGCACTATGTAGATTTATAAAAAAAGTTATTGAATATAATATAGCATTTTAAAGCAGTAAAATAATAATAATAATATAAATATAGATGACATAATTTAATATTATGATGAATCAATACACATCAATCCAATATCTTTAATGAGATGTTAAGATTAAAAGTAGACTTGTTATTAGTCTCTTAAATAATTGTTGATCTAAATTAATATTTGTGAAAATATACAACTCATTCTTTAAATATTGAAAGATTTTGAAAATGAAGATTTAATAAAATTAAAAAGTTATCAAATAATGGATAAAGATATCTATAAGCTAAAATTGTAGCTTATAAATATTATTTACAAAAGAATGTAAATATGAATCAATAATTATCAATTTTGAAATTTTGTTATTAATACATATAAAAATCATATATTATTACATTCTTAATGAATACTGATTATTCCTGTTTAGATACTGAAATTTAAATAAGAATATTTAAATGATAATAAAGTATTTAGTCAATTAATATTTAATTTTATGTAAGTTGACAATAATGTAGAAGAAGAAAAAAAGAAAAAAGAGAATGAAGAAGAATCTAAAGGAGTTGTGACAATAAAAAGAAGATTAATAGCTTCTTTTGATCTTTTCTAATTTATGCCTGTTCCTAAAACTGAGATGGTATCTTCTAGAAGAAGTTTATATGGAAGTCTTTTGATGATAGGATGTTTTTTAGCTTATTTTATTTATACTCTTGTTGGTACCTATAAAGATTAAAGTTTTAGCATTTATTACAAACAACAGTCCAACTGTAAATTAGTATGAAGAAATCTTGGAAGCCTAAAATGTAACATTACCAAACATAGCTTTTGGATATTTTTTTGGAGATCCGTAAATATAAAATTTTGAAATATATTTTAGGTTTACAAAAACCATAAATGATCCTTCAATCTTCTATTTTGAAATGTTTTAAGTTACCAAATTCTAAGATGTCTCAAAAAAAGATGTAAAAACATAAATCCCGTTAAAATCTTGTAATCCAGATTGGGTTCCAGCTTCTAATTTTACAATCCTATGTCCAAAGTATAATTACTTATTTACTTGTTAGTGAGTCCGCAAATATGTCAGGAGCTCTTTATCAAACTCCAGAGTTTACATATCCCAGAATTTAAGTGACATATTGTAGTTAAGGAGGCAATTAAACTTGTATCTCTTAGCAAGAGATTGCATAGATTGCAGCTGGGTATAGATTCTCAATCTAATTTACGAAGTGGAAGAATATTATTATACATTCAGGACAATTCACCTAACTTTGATCTTACTACTGGACAATCTGTGGAGAGTGTACCCTATTCTACTTATTAATACTTTCTAATGCCTGGGTTATATCCCAGAACTGAAATTTTCTTTTAACTTGAGAAATATACAATAAAGCCAGATTTCTTAAGAAGATGGTAAGATGATGTTAGAATCTTCTTAAGTACAGAAAAAATCAATAGTTGGATTACTAATGTAAGTGTATATAATACTTACAATGCATATCAAATAGGATTTCGGACAGAATTAGTATCAAAAATTATATTAATTTTAGACATAATAAATTTCTGTTTTAACCTATTAAACATCATTTGATATGATTTCAATAGTTGGAGCATTTTGGGGAGTTTTGTATTTAATTGTTTGATATATTAGATTCTCTACATTTGCTGCCTATTTTTTGGTGTATAATTAAAATACTTTTTATAGAGAAAATAAATAATGGGAGGATTTCGGTAAAAAGATTGGTGTTAGAAAAGCAGCTGATGTTTTTAATTTAACTGAAGAAGCTCCACATTCTAAAGTAAATGATTCTATTGTATTTGAAATGACTGAAATTCATCAAGAGAATAACCATTCTTAAAATGAATAGAATGGAGTTTGATTAATTTAAATTTTTAATTAGACATATTATTTATTTTATGAAAATCATTCATATATTAATGTAAAATAATATAAAAAAATAATAAATTAAGTATTGTTGTAAATAATTATATTTTAGATATATAATTGAAATTTGATGTCATTATTTTTTGCTATACATAATATAGAAAATAGGATGAGCAACTTAAGAGATCAAGAATAATTTTACATAATCAATAATTGATTTATTTTAAATCTATTATTATTTTGGAATCTAACTTTATTCCAAGATTGTTATTTTTTATTCATAAGTACTTATCAATGCTTAAGTATCTCTTTAAGCAGTTTCTGTTATTTATTTGTATTCTTTTTCTTATTATTAAATTTATAAGTCTCTATTCTCTATTTTAGTAGCTAATTTTTTATATTCTTCTTTTAATTTTGCATATTTCTTTTCTAATTCATCATATTTTTTCTCATTTTATTTCTTCTATTTAATTTAATCAGTCACCATTTCATTTAATTATTAAATTTCTTCTGATTGATGTTAATCTTTTTTTTTTAAGTTATTAATTTCTTAAATCTATTCATTTAATTATTAAACTAATTGTAAATTTTAACCCTCCAATTATTGAACCTTTAAACAACTTTATTTCCATTATTCTTCTAATTCTTCATACTTTTTTTCCAATTCTTAAAATTCCATTTTATTTTATAAAAATTAATATTTTTAAATATCAGACATAAAATACTGATAAAGAGTAATAAATTAGTATACATATTTCTAATTAAATATATATGATCTCAATTTTAATAAGTATTTTATTTTGACATATATAATTAAATATTTACATATCATACCCTTTTAAAAAAATGAATTCAAAACAACATTACAATACTCATAAATTAACATTAACTAAACCTAATAAGAAATCATAATTTTGTTCTGATGATGGAGAAAGTACTACACCTCATTCAATTAATTCCACTAAAAATAATAAAGAGTTTTAAACTGATGATTCTGATTGTGGAACTCCAATTACTCCTTCTACTAAGTCCCTCTAAAAACCATAATAATCAAAATTCAAACCAAAACCTAATACAATTTAATAACTCTTTACAAATACAGCTAGAAATGTTCTATAAAATAAATAAACTCATTCTGATGCTGAATCTAAACCTTAAAAATAATAAGAAGTTTCCATTAAAAATCATCCCTTTAGACATCTAATTTTTGGTTAATCTGTTTAAGAAACTACTCTAAAAAAGCATCTACTATTAACTCAAAGAGGATTGATATATGCAACCAAATGTTTAAAAGGACCCAGCGATTAATTTATATAATCACGTCAAGTAGAGGTTCCAAAAGAAGAAAATAAATCAAAGATTCTTCTATTAGATTTAGATGAAACGTTAATTCATTCATACCATAGTAAAGAGTAAGCTTAAGTTAACATTAATTAAATCAGTTTTAATGTAAGACCATATACAAATTATTTTTTAAATAAATTATCGGAGATATATTCAATTTTTATTTTCACAGCATCATCATCCTCATATGCAAGTGTTATAGTAGATTATTTGGATCCAGATCAATCTAAAATTATTGGAATATTTTCTAGAAATCATTGTATGGAAACAAAAAATGGATTCTTTATAAAAGATTTAAGAACTTTAAAAGATATAGATTTAAGCTCTACTATAATTGTTGATAATTTGGCACATTCTTTTGGTTTGCAAATTGATAATGGAATACCAATATTGGAATGGAATTCTGATGAAAAAGATGAAGAATTGAAATATTTAACAGAATATCTTGTATAAGCAAGTCAAGTTGAGGATGTTAGAATATTTAATAGAGAAAATATTCGTTTAAGAGAATTAATAAGCTACTAATTATGAATAAATATATGTTTATTATTCAATTACGATTCATATTAAAAGTTAATACAGTGTTGGGATTGAATACTAATTTAGCTTTTTTTTATTTTAAAATAGAAATCCAATATAAATATTGATTAAATTCTTCTTAACTAAGTTCAAGATTCTTTTAAATCATTTCATATCCTTTAGATTCAGCTTCTAATAATAATTTATTTGCTTTTGCTTATGCTGCTTAAGTGATTGAAAAAGCATCTGCTTAAGCTTATGCATGGATAACAAAGATTTCTTAATCATTTTAAGCCCTCATAACAAGAATATCATTTAAAATCATTTGTGCTTTCTATTCAAATTATTTCATTGTTTTCTTTTAAACTTCTATTTAAGTTTAAACTATTGAATCTTCATATTAATCTGGTAAATCAATATCTAAAATTTAAAGTGATACACAATTAGCATGAGCTTTTTTCAATTCTTCTTCTAATTATTTTTACATAACTTCTGTTATGTTTCTCCTATTAGTCCAATATTTTGGTGCCTCAAATCTACCTGCTGCTTATAAAATAGTATCTCTAGCCATTCTTATAAAAGTTGCTTCATAATTAAGTCCAGCCATAGCATATAGTAAAGCAATTTCATTTTTAATAAGTTGATATTAAAATGAAACATGTAAACTAAGTGTAAGACCTTCAGCAGTTCTAGTTTTGAGAGGTTGACTTTATGCTCGTTTATCATCTGAAAATTCAATGGCTTATCTACTACCAGGAAAATTAAAAAAAGAGTTGAATGGTCCAACTAAATATCTTCCTGGAGCATATATTTGTTTATCACATTGTTTACTTATTGAATTACATTTTAAACCCCAATTAGTAATTTCAACAACATCCCATCCAATGATTAAAATAATCAGAAGGAAGGTAGCAAAACAAATGATGGAACCTAATATAATTTATTATTACATTATTTTATTTATTATTTTGTTACTATATTGTTCAAGTCAATAATTATGAATATCCTTTTAAATTAATATATTCAAAGAGATATTAAAATTAATTTAATACATCTTTATACTTTTATATATTTGATTTCATAAATTTTCTTTGATAAATTAGAAATAATTTCTTTTTTATTAGAAATAATTTCTTTGTTATATATAAATCTTATTTAATTATGAGTGAAAATCCTTTTGAGGTCTTAAAAGAAGACATGGAAAATGAAGAAGTTTATTTAAAAGTCAATGCTATGCATAGAGTGAAAGTTGTTGCCACTTTATTAGGTAATGATAAAATAAAGTCATAATTAATACCATATTTTGAAAGTAATAGCAATTAATTAAAGTAGGTCTATTAAAAAAAGAAGATGATGAAGTACTTTTTGCATTAGCTGAAGAATTAGGAAATATTGCGTAAATAATATTTGATTATAATTAGTTAAATTATCCCAAATTAATCATCTTGTCTATTGCCACTCCTTGAATAATTGGCAGGATTTGATGAAACTGTTGTAAGAGAATAAGCTGTTAGATCCATTACTATAGTATGTGGATTTTTAGCAGACAATGAAATAGCTAACACCATAGTACCAATGGTAAATATTTCTTTTACAATTTTATAGATTCTTAGATTAGCATCAAATGATACTAATTTTACTTGTCGTGTATCAGCAGTCAGTTTGATGTGTCCATTATATGCTAGAGCAGGCAATTAAAAAGAGAAAATTAGACAGTAATTCAAATTTAAATATGAATTAGAAAGTTTACTGAGTTATGTAGTGAAGAAACACCTATGGTAAGAAGAGCTGTAGCTACTAAAATAGGAGAAATTGCTTAATTTATGGATAAGATTCATGTAATTCAGGATTTGATACCTGTTTTAAAATAATTATGTTAAGATGAATAAGATTAAGTTAGATTATTATGCATGGAAAGTTTAATGAATATAGCAAAAATTTTGAATAGTGGTGAGAATAAAACAAATATATTACCTCTTATTATATAATCAGCTGAAGATAAATCATGGAGAGTTAGATTAGCATTATCTAAAATATTTGCAGATGTAAAATAATTAAAAAATATCTAATTAGTTAGCTGAGGCTGTTGGTAAAGAAATTGCTGATTCATCACTTATTTAAATATTCTCTAATTTGTTAAAAGACACAGAATGTGATGTTAGAGTCATAGCAGTTAAAAGTTTAGCTAGATTTATTAAATTTGTCTCACCAGAAAAATTAAATTTAATTGTTCCACTTTTATAATTATTATCTAAAGATCCTTTTTCTTAAGTTAAATGTATTGAATAATTTTAATTTTAGAAAATGCATGTGAAGTTATTGGTTAAATTGCTACACTTTTACCAAAAGAATATAGTCAAAGCAAATTATAATAATATTTAATTGATTTAATGGCAGATGACAATTAAGATGTAAGAAGAAATGCAGCAAAATCTGCAGGCCAATTTGCATCTGCTATTGGTCCAGAAGCTTTAAATCAATTTGTACCTTTTCTCAAAAAATCTATGGATGATCCTAAATGGAGAGTAAGAAAAGAAACTATGCAAACTATTATTTAATTAGCTTTGTAAAATTTCAATTATTTATTATTTTAAGGACTGTCAAAAATCCAGATGTTTTCAATAAATAATTGGAATCAGTTTTTGTAATGTTTTTAAAAGATAGAGCAGCTGAAGTTAGATCTATGGGATTAAGCTAATTACCTGCTTTGATTGCTACTTATAAATAAGAATGGGCTGTAGGAAACTTTTTATCAAAATGTGTTGAAACATTATCCAAAGATGTTGGATCATTATATAGAATCAATGCACTTTATGCAATCTAATAAATTTCTTTTTCTGTTGATGGCCCTGTTGCTTAAGATAGATTATGGCCAATTGTATAAAAGTGTTTAAAAGACCCTGTTCCCAATATAAGATTTGTTAGCATAAGGGTTGCTAAATCTTTGTCAAAGAAAATTGATAACTAATAAACTTTGAATCAAATTAAATAGTATATTATAATTTAATTATTTAATAGAGCAATTAATGAATTAATAGAAGATCCAGATAGAGATGTTAAATTTTATGCATAAGAAGCATTATAAAATTGAATGTCCAAAATAATATATATATAATTATATAATTATATACAAATGCAGAAATTTAAAGAATAATTTTAAGAAGCCTTATAATTTTCTTCAGATTGTAAAATTATGTTATCATTTTAGTTTAATAACAAATCATCCAAATGAAGAAGGATCTTCTAGAGAAAACATAATAAATTTCAAAATTGTAAACTTAGATTTAGATGATTGATTGTGAAGCCTTCTGATATCTAAGATTTATTTTGGAATGTTAAAAAATAAACTTTGACTATTAAGTAAATTTTAAGAGAAATTGAATAAAAACCACATAATTAAGAAATCATTCAAAACTAATTTCAAGAACTTCAAGAAAAAATTATAAATCTTGAAGAACTTGTGTTTATTTATCTTTTCAATAATAAAATTAATTTAAAGAATAAAATAATTAAAGATAAAGTGATTAGAATAAAGAAAATAATAATGATAATTTGAATCAGAATGAAGTTCAAAACAAAAAAAAGAAATATATAAGTACTATTAATAAAACTTAAAATGAAATTATTAATAATTTCATTAATGATAATTCAGATGAAGATCATAAACCCTAACAATTTAAAAAATGTAGAAAAAGATTAAGAAGTAAGATTGCCATATACTAATTTAATAATCATATAAATGATATGTTTAATTTTAATTGATCTTATTATTACTATTAATATTCAATGAGTTGCTGATTGATTATTAGGAGCTGTAAAGGGTCTTCTTTATTCTAAGAAATCATCAAATTCTCCATCTGCTCGTCTATAATTTTTTATTCAACTATTTACCTATTATTCAAATTTGGTCTTTGTTATGCAGCTCTTAATTATCTCATCACATTCATCACTATTTCAGCTGTTCTCTCTATACTTAATTATTTTCCAGGACCCAATTTACTTTTCTCATCCTTCACTAATTCACTATTCTCTTTAATTATATATCTTTACCTAATGTGATCAATAACTTAATCTTCAATAGCTTTACCTCCATTCTTTCTTTATTCATAAGCTTCTTATTAATTTGCTAAATATTGATTCCATACAGAGTAAGTGAACAATTAATAAGGGTGTGAATTATAAGATACTAATTCAAAGTCTCTATCTATTTAATCAACCATTCTTCTTTCACCACCATGTTTAATCTATGTGACTTGACATTCAGCTATATGTGGAACAATAAAAAAAGTTCTCAAACCCATTTGAAATAGTTCTTCTAATTCTCTATTTCCAAAGAAATATTGTTTGCAATGTCTTGAGATCTTTCTATATGAGTGATATGCTATTTATATAGATAAAATTAAAAAACCTCTTAAAAATGAGTTATGATCATATCTACATCTAATACCAATTGTAAATTCTGAGCTGGAAGGACGAGGAGCATTGAAATTTTTAGGATGCCAATTATTCTTCCATCCTGCTCTTGTCCAAAAGAATGATTTATTTCTAATTTTATAAACCATAAATTTATTAATCAAATAATAATTAACTTATTTTACTAATTCTCTAAGTATAGATTCAGACATTCTCTTTAGTTTAACCATTTAGTTATAAAAATCATTAGATTTGATATTATTTAAGATATTAAACATAATTTGATAATTCTAAAAAAGTAAAATAATCTTCTAATATAATGTATGCAATAAATTCATCATAGATTGATAATTAAGATATCAACAGAAAAATTATACAACCAATATAGAGATCTCTTAATAAACTATTTTTGAATTTTTATATGATTTTTCATAAACTAATTAAATAATACAGATAGATATTTTTGAGATAATTGATCCTGTTTGTTTTCTTTTGAATTTTTTTTTTAAGTTATAACTTATTAGTTACTCTAAACAATATTATCTTTTGCTCTATCTCCTAAGATTTATCATAACTCAATAGAATATCTTATATAACTGATCAAATAAATGAACTGAATAATTCCTAGAATCAATTTGATTATCTTGAGCAATCCTTTAATTTGAAAGAGAATGTAGTACACTTGATTTATAGCTATAAATATAGATGATTATCTTCAAATCATTAATCAAAAGAAGAATTGCAAGAGTAAATATTATCATGAATTTGATGAATCCCTTTAATGATCAAGAATTATTGATTGAATAAGCTAAAATGAAGTAAATTTTATTCATTTAAGAGGTTATTTTGAAGAAAAAGAAAGTTTCTATACTCAATGTGGTTTAATATAAATTACATAAGATTATAGAAACTTTAAAATTAACTTAAATATATAATTCTGTAAGAACACATTAGTTAAAAAGCTTATTTCTATACTATCAATAGTAAAAACACTTTTCTTACCATCTTTATGGATCTCCCCTTTTAAAATTTTACTTTTCCTATGGATTCAAATAAAAATTTATTATTTAATACATCCCTTCAACTTTCTAAAGTTCCTTTTGCTTCTAATGGTTCAAAGGATGATAATCCAAGTGACTTTGTGTTTAATTGATATATAAAGTAGATGTTTTTACTTTGGTTCTATAGATTATTAGTTAGGTGTTTGTGGGATTGAAAATTTGAATGAAACGAACATTATAATGAATATCAGTGTGATATTATTAGTAAATTAGTTCTGATAAACAGTTAATATCAGATAGAATTCAAGAAAATAAAAAACTATATTCAATTAAGAAATAAAAGAAAATTTTATCTACAAAATTATTATGAATTACAAAATTAATTATATATACCTAAAAGTATTTAATTGTAGCCTTTCTCCTCAACATGATTTGATTGAGAGAGTGTGGAAAAGATTGTGAATATAATTAATTATTTGATCAATTATTTATTAGTGATGTAGAAAAAACAATTTCATCACAACAATAATATGATAAACTACTATCATTACTCAGATGAAGAAGAAGATCTCAAAGACTCATTATATGGAATTTCAGAAGTCATTCCTCTACAGTGTTATGAATCTCCTAATATTGAACAAGAGTAAGAACCTGAAGACATTATTTTATAAGATTATCCTATAATGATCAATAAGGATATAGAAAGAAAAATTTATAAAGTTGATCATCCTTTGAAGATTAATGATTTTACTCAATAAAATTTACATAAGAATTTCAATCTTTATAATTAACCTAAAAAAGACAAAGCTTTTAAAAAGCCTTCATTTATTAGAAGTCGAATTTATAAATAATACATATCTCATAGAACCAAAATGAATACAGAAAAAATTGAATGATTTACAAATTTTTGTATTATTACTTTTGATTTAAATATCTTAATATATAAATTATATTTTTTTTCCTTCTTTTTAAAGAAGATTTTTTATTTTATCTTAAATAATTGATTAGTTATGAATGAATGAGTCTTACTGTTATAATTGGATAGTTCAAAATTAAAATATATAACATATTATATATATATAATAATAATATATAAATATGAATTATATTGATTAAGGTACTGCTCTATCTAGAAAGGTTCCAAATAGAAAATTATCTAAGAAGAATTCTCTTTTTTATTAAGTATAGATGTTATAATTAATAATAGCAATCAGTTTTTGAGAATGAAGAATTCATGTAAAAGTATGAGAAGAATGTGGATCAATTATAAACAGTAATAGAAGAGCCAGAATTAAAAGAAGTGATTCAAAATAGAAATGAGAAGTTTTTTTAAGTTTTAGAATAAATAATAAAAGTGGAATCATCAATTAAGGAGTTTGCTAAAGGGTAATTTAATATGTTAATTTAGTTATTAAAAGTATGGATTTATTGTATCTGATACAGGAATAACATATAGAGAATGGGCACCAAATGCAAAAGAATTAAAATTAAATGAATATGGTTGCACTACTGATAATGGTGGAAATTGGGAAGTATTTATACCAAAAGATGATGATGATAATCATTAAATTTAACATGGAAGTCCTCTTATCACATACTGTAATTAATTTGAAAGAGCTTCAGTATGGAGTAGTGTAAAGAAAGGAGAATAAGCAATATTTTGGAATCCAGACAATAAGTATGAATTTCAATAATAACAATTACAATAAAAGTAGTAAAGTAAAGGGTTAAAAGTGATTAAATAAAAGATTACAGAGTTGTAAGGAGTGAATGGATACAATACAATTATGATTACTTAATAATTATTAATGCAAGTTGATGTAAATTAAATAACTCCAGATGACTTAAAAAGAAACATAGATGTACTTCATTAAAAAGGTTTTTATGTTATAATGGAGATTGATCATGAATAAATATTGAAATATTTAAATAATTGGGATGGAACTTAATTTTAATACTTGAAAGATGGAATAGAATAATTGGATTATGGAAAATGGGAAGTTTTGAGATTATTATTATCAAATATATCATTTTGGATAACAGAATATTAAATAGATGGATTTAAATTTACTAATATTGAAATATAAGATGATATTGATGCAGCAGTATACTTGATGTTAGCAAATGATCTCATTCATGATTTATTGCCAAATGGTATAAGTATAATCTAAAACTTGGATTATCCAGTTCTTTGTAGAACAATTAAAGAGGGAGGTTTAGGTTTTGATTTTAGACTTTCTAAATTATAACATAAATAATATTAACCTAAGACTTTATTTGAAAATAATGGAATGTATACTTAAGCTTAAATCTTAAATGCACTTGTTATTGGTTCAGTAAGAATTGAATTAAATGTAGGGATTGATATAAGAAATTGTAGATGATAAATTTGTATAATTTGAATAACTATATGGATGGTTAAATGATGAAATTGTTTAAATCAATGAAGTGGATTTTGTGTTGCAAATTAAAAGAGGAAATTATATATTTTTGATAAATCATATGAATGAAGTAATATTATTATTAATTTATTTATAGAATAAAGAAATTGTATTGAATTTGAAAATAAATAAAATTATAAACAAAGAGGATCAAAAATGGGAATAATTAGATGAAAATACCATAAAATTAATTATTGAATCAGAATAGGGATTGATAATTGAATGATAACTGATAATTAATCTGAATTTACAGAATGTATAACAAGTAAATAATTTCATTATTATAAATAATATAATTACATTTAATAAAATTAAAAACTAATAAATTCATCCAATATTAAAAGTTTCTATATATTACTAAATAATTATTTTAAAAAACTTGGCTCTTTTTACATAATCCTTGCTTAAGAACTCTTTTTATTATTTACAGAAATGCTTATGCATTTGATAACTCAATAGTATTCAAATCAATAACCAAAAATCATGTGGGATTAAAATTTATTAGGATTAAAAAAATAAAAATTTAATGTAAGAATATTGAAAAATCAACTATTAATAATTGGATAATTAATATATACATAATTGAGTTTATAGTAGTGTAAAATATTGAGGGAAACTCAGAAATTAAGAAGTTTTGAATCAATATATTTATATTTAACTTATATTAGTAAAATATAGATATAAATATCATATGAAATATTGTTATCCTTGAATAAATTATAAGTCTACTGCTTTTCTACTTTTATTGTACTTTCCAAAATATTCAAGAATAAGAAATGAAAATCTAATTATATTACCATGTTTGGCTGTTCTTAAGAAATCCTTATTCATTCCTGCTTTAGTTAGATCATCACAATGAACAAATAAATCACTTCCATCCATGTCCATAATTATGAAACCATAAGCTCTTGCTTCATCATAAAACTTTAATGTTCCAAAATATCTTATCTATATTTATTTTTTAATATATTTACATTAGACAATATATTTGTACCTTCTTGTAAATTTAAATTTAGTGATTATAATAGATCATTTTATGGACTTGAAGAGTTAATTAAAGAATTACATTCCTTAAGTAAAAGATCACTTTCTTGATTTACTTCATCCAATAATTACATTTATAAACTTGTACGTGATATATTAGAGGGAGATAAAGGAACATTTTTAATATTTAATTTATTTGTACGATTATCTTTTTAATCAGAAAGGTATTTAAAAGCATCTGAATAAGATCTTTTATGTCTTCTGATAGGTAATCCTATTATTTCATTAATAACATCCATTAAAATATCTTTAATAAGTTTATGCTTTTCAGATGTACCCTTTTTGCCTACAACATAAAAATAATTTAAATAGCGTGCCAAATATATAGGTTTCTTATATCCATAATTAATCACTTAACATTTCAAATCTTCAATTTCACAAATATCATAAATAATGATTTTTCTCTCCAATTATTAACTTATAATGTTGAGATCATCACCTTTACAAATATCAGTCAAAACTTTCCAATAAAACCATGTACCATATAGTGAATATGAAATAGCTTTCATTAGATCCTAATTTTTTGATTTAAGTATTATACCAAAGCTGATGTGAGTATTTCCTTATCATCTTCAATTAATAGTTATTTGAATTATTCTATCATTCTAGCACTTTAAAAATCAGAATTAAATTTATTCAAAGAAGGAGTTAATTGTAAATCATACAATTTACTAGGGAACATTAATTATTTTATGAATTAAATTAATTCTTTAAATAAAATAGTAAAAATATAAATCAATTAACAAAATTGCTCTTTTTTTTATTTTTATGATTATTATTATTGCTTTAGCTCTTTATTATATAGTGACATTTCTCATCATTATTATTTTAATACCCATTCACTAGAATTGGTGTCAAAGCAGTAATATCTTAGAAATCTTTTTAATTTTATATGATAATTTATTGATCTCTATTATTTCTTGTGTAATAATACTTGTTTATAATAATCCAACACATCCAAATAAATAAAATTATAATGCATATTGCATATACATTAGTAAAAAAATTCAATTATTATATTTATTTCTCTAAATTAATATTTATATTTTGTTATTATGAAAGTTCGAATAATAATTACTATTATATGTTATCATTTTATTTTTAATTTTCCATTTCCTTTAATTTATTCTTACGAATTTATTATAATTATTCTTTTAATAGTTGAAGATTATGAGATAGTATAACTATATTTTATGCTGTAACTTTAAATAAGGATTAATTAAATTCAAAAGGAATCACATCTAAATATTGATTTTGACTCTTTATTTCATCAATTTTAGACTATTGCATATCAAATATATAATCGAAATAATTGCATGTAGAATTATTAGAATTTGTATAATTAGAGATTATTTCATTACATGGCATTTACAATCTTTTTGGTTATTTAATTTATTCTGTTATTGGTTCAATTTTAGGTAATTTTAATTTATATCTTTTATGAGATTATATTAGATCACCAATAACTGTTTATCCAAAAACTCTAAAACAATTATAATCTAAATACCTTATTTAAGTCAAAGTACAATGATATTCTGATTAATGAAAATTAATGATTTCAATTTTCAAATATCTAAGAAAATGTGATTCAAATTCAAAGTGTTACCATTCATTTATATCCTCTGATTCAAATTATTATAATATATCCCAAGATTCAGTTGGATATACAACACTTCCAAAAACCTCAAAAGAAATAGTTATTTTAATATGATACTTTGAAATTCTTTATTGTTGAGGAATAAAATTCTTTATTAATAAAGTATATAGATTCTAATTGGATCTCTTCTTTTAAACAAATTATAAAGAACAAATTTTCTTAATTACACTCTGTTATCATATAACTAAATTCAAATTAGAACAATGTACGTTTCTTGATTATCCATTAAAATATTATCTACTCCAATTAATTATTTGCTTTTTGTAAGTATGGTGGCACCACCAAAATAATTGGCAAAGTTTATTTGAGATGGAATACTTTTCACTTAAATTCTAGATTCTATTGTTATCCTATTATAAAGTAAAGTTGATATATTTTAAAATGATGACACTGTTTGTTCCAAATTCTTATAAGTTGATTTAAGATTTGTATCAATCATTTTGACTGCATAGAAGAAAACTAAATCATGGATCTATCTACCATTGATAAACTCTGCTAATTGTTTGTTCTTTTCTACTGCATCATCTATTTGCTCTATTTATGAAAGCTTTTGTAAATCTTCCCTTTTTAAATATACAAAAACTAAAATTATGATTAAAGCATAGTAGTATTTCATTAATTAAATTAATTAGATTTAGTGTAGTTCATAAAAATTATTCTTTTTAATCAAAATTTTTATTTTCAATTACATATATAAAAATACAATCATTACTCTTAATCATAAATTTAACAATGCCTTAAATTCATCTAAAGATATCTTTCCATTTCCATCTTCATCAAATAAATTAAAGAGATCCCAAATATCACATTTACTCAATTTATCTAATTTACTTAGTAAATACTCAAAATCCTTGAAATTAATGTATCCCTTCTTTTCCTTGTCCACTTATGTAAATAATGTACTTACAGATACTGATTTTCTCATCAGAGTTTCACGAATTCTATTCAAAATTATTTTTAATTTTTGATAATTCTTACTCTAAAGAACAAATTATAACTCTTTTAAACTAATTTTACCATCATTATCTTAATCATAATTTTTGAATATTTCTAAAATATTATCTTAAGATAATTTAGGAGCAATCTTTTTAATAAAGAATTCAAACTCTTTTTCATCAAGATATCCATTTTTATCTTAATCTAATTATTAAAATAGTTATTTCAATGGTATTTTATATAATTTAATAATTGCCTATAATTCATATGTGATTTAAACGGCTATAGACTTTAAAGGTGAAAAATCATATTCACTAAATAAATATTCAAATTCTTAAGCACTTATCAATCCATCCTTAGAATAATCAAATTTCTCAAATAACTTCCTACCAACTTCTTCATTTTCTTCATTCATTATCTTACGTAACATATTCTAAAATTCATCCTAATTTATATGAGTCTTGCCACATTATTTCATTAAATCTTTTGCTTAAAAATTAAGTTCAGAGCATACTAATTAAATATTATATAAGTATTCTCTTTCTAAAACTGTAAAATTTAATCTTTCCTAAGTAGCTTATCTTTTTAATCTCCCTTAAAGTTATAACATAGGATGTTTTAATAATTCTGGCCAACTCATACGATGGCATTCCTCAATTCTTAAACATTTCTTTATGAAATCTTTGACCTGAGGTGAAATCTAAATCTCATAAGGGAATTATAAAGGTTTAGTTTTAATTTCAATTAAATAAGTGTCAAAACTTCTACATAACCAAGGAGTTCTACCAAAAAGGAGTTCATATAAGACTAATCCTAAAGACCAAATGTCACATTTATTTGTATATTCTTTACATTCTAAAACTTATGGTGACATATACAATGGAGTTCCAACCTGGGCTAAAGTATGCATAATTAGAATGTAATACATCTTAAAACCTATTTAGGAGGAATTTTGGCAGCTAGACCAAAATCGGCAACTTTATAGGTATTTTACTTAAGAAGAATGTTATCAGGCTGATTTTAAGTGGAAATAATACTTTAATATCACGATGCATGTAATTTTTATGTAATAATTCTGTTAATCCTTAAATAGTTTAGGATATGATAGCAACAGCAGCAGACTCTTGAAGTCTTTAGTTAGGTTAATGAGATAATAGACGACGTAGATCTCCACCTTCACAATATTCAATAATCAAAAAGAGTTCATTGTCATATTAATCACATAATGCCTATGATTTAAGTTAAGTTTTTACATCTAAGATCCTAACTACATTGGGACTTTTGAGTTCCATCATGAGAATAATTTCAAGTTTTAATGCTCGTCTATAGGTTGGATTATCGTAATGTTTAAGATTGAGGATCTTGATGGCCACATAGGAATTTCCTTGGGTTCCACGATAAACACTAATGGTCTTAGGAATTTAAACCTACCGAAAGATCCCTCACCCAGGAGATCTCTAGTGTAGTTAAAGGAATATTAATCAAATTGACAATTTTGATATGCATCAATATATTTTTAAGTTTATCTGATGAATTTTTGGAGGGTGTTGTCCATAATATATTTTTGGATGAATAATTTTGTTTGAATATTATTTTTTATTATTTTATAAATATAATAAATTCAAAATGAAATGCGATTTTTGTGAAGAGACTACCCCATTAATTGGTAATAATACATGTGTTATAGTGATAGAAATCATGCATCATTCTTTGTTCTTGAAATACTCATAATCATAGAATTACCATTACAATAAGGGCATAACAGAGATCTTACATAATTACCGTACATCAAACAATATACTCTACAAGGATGTGATCATGTATGACACACCTGGAGAATTACTCAATAAAATATTTAAATATGATGTAATAAATGAAAAATTGCAAATGTTGGGTGAGTACTATAAAGTACTTTTTAATTGTTATTCAATAGTTCCATAATGATATCCCTCGTTTATTTATGCTACCAGCAATAGTTTCTTTGAATTATTACCATGATAAAAAGAGAAGATTGGAGTATTTTAGGATTGCCAAGTTGATAGCTCAAGAGAACAAGAATAATCCAGACAAACCACCCAAAGGAATAGTAGGAGATTCACCAATGCCGTAATCCAGCTAATAAGTGACTGCTTAAGATCCAAGCTCCTCAGAAGAAGTAAGACACAACACCCTGAACTTAGCCGATGTCTAAATGTGAGAAAATCCTTGATGGTCTCAGTATAATCGAGCCAAAACCATAATTTGTGAACTTCAAGTAATAGCTCCAACAATATAAACTTATGTAATCAACCAATCCAAACTTTAAATATGAAAACTACAAACCTTTTTATAAAGAATAATAGATTTAATAAAAGAAACCAGTTCTATAACATCGCAAATCAAGTATAACAAGTATACTTAATATGCTCAAGACATCTATTCCAAAAGGAGTTGCTAAAAAGAAAAATCAATCTTAAAAATCTGATTAATTGCATATTGTAATTTGTTTAATGTTTTAATTTAGACTCCTCGAGATATTGAATATAAATCTCCAAGTAATAGAACTTTGTTACCTAATCAATAACGAATTGCTACTCTTCTCAAATCACCTAAATGTGTTACTCCAAGAGCTCCTTAATAAAGTCCACATCTACCAAAAAAAGTGTAATAATTAGAATTAAAAGTCATGTCTGATTTGTAAACACTTTTAGCCAAAAAATTAATCAGAGATTCCAAACAGTGTTGCACTGTACATTTTGACAATCTATCTCTAGCCTAAGATCCTAGAAGTCTTACCTAGAGATATGAAATAACAAATCGTCTAAAAGGATAATTATCTAGAAAAAAATTGAACATCAAAGAATTAAATTAGTTTAGAAGAGTAAAAATTCAAGAACCTTTATCAAATAGAGAACCAAACAGAAAAATCAATATAAAATCAAAATCAAATGATAAACCATTATAAATTAATACAAGTGGAGAATAAAAACTTGTATATTATTAATAAACTCATTCTGCAAGATAAGTGACTAATTCACAATAATCAACAATGCTAAAATAAAGTAGTGGTTAATCATCTTCTTAATAAATGCATCATCAAAAATCAGCTACTGCAAAAGCTATAGGAAAATCCATGAAGTAGACAAATACTTTCGATTCTCAACTTTATAAGGTAGCACTTAATTTAGCAGTCAAATCAGTTAGGAGTAGAAAATAATGATAGAAACAAAATATTTATATGTGTGTTACTTAGATTAATTTAAATCTTAGATATTTAATTAAAATGGAATCACGATCATACAATTTCTCCACTGCTAAAAAGAGATCAACTTAAATGGAAAGCAAAGTCATTTTGTAATTTCATTCACCTTATTTCATCTTATAGTTTCCCAAGAGAAGATGAAAATGCCCCAAGAACAATTATTTTGAAGTAAGAATGTCCAGGAGAGTTAGCTGCATTTAAAGAAGTATAAAGTAATCCAAATATGATTAGTGTGTTGTCAGAACTAAGGATGAATCAAAATGTATGCAATTCAAGGATGGTACTCAATGAAATTAATAATAGCATTATTGGAATGTGGTAAACCTGCTTTTAGAAAGGCCAACACTACTCCAGATTATCAATTCTGAGCAGTATTAAAGAGCATAACATAAATATAATTTTAATCACAATATTTACAATACTCTCTTTTTAATCTTAATTTTATTGATTTTATTTTGATTTATCAATGTTACCCAATTCCTATGTCCAATCTATGTACATAAATCCATAGTAATAATAAGTAGCCCCATTACCATTTGGATACACTACCAACACACCCAGTATCTTATCAATATTTATTATTAGCAAAACCTGTATATCAACCCTAACCACCAATTGAAACAGAATATCAAAGTAGTTATATAGTCTATTCTTTTTAGTGTAGGTGTAACCTGAACCATATAGAGAGTAAATTGTTGTACAATAGCCGATGCCAAACAAAACTATAACTTTAGTAAAACCTAAGAAATATTCTTATGTAATCGTTAAATTTGAATTTATAGTTGATAGATTGGTTACTCTATATATTACCAATAGCATTCTTTATTATAATTCTCCTTATTATGGCATTACTCTTTGCTTCCAAAGTGAAGCACTTCAATCCAGAAGGGGCACACAACACACTTGAAACTTTGAAAAATAACATGCAATTAACACCAATTGAAGATATTGTTGTAGCAACTCCCTCTTCATCTGCATCAGCTCTCAACATGATATCACATTTTACACATGATGAAGTTGAGTGTCCAGATGGTTATGGTAAAGCTCATCTAGGTTAATGGGATGGAGTATCATCAGGATGTATTTGTGAGAATGGTGAAATTAGTCATTCTCTCACTTGTTTCTATAAATCTAATTGTAAAAGAGTAAAATCTCATGATCCTTAATTATTTACAACATGGTAATAAAAATAATATTGTACTAAATTATATGCTGAATGGAAAACATTAGAAGGTGCTGCTTGTGAGACAACTTATAAATAGTGTGGAAATGTTTGTGTTCCATAATCCAAAAATTGCCCACTTTCAGGTTTACTCAAAGACGATTCAAGATAGAATGATAGAAATGCAATAAAAATTGGAACAGATAATTACATTAAATAATTTGAAAACTCATCTCCTATTGTTAGTATTGAAATTATACCAGGAATTGGACAAAGTGATTCGTCTCCATGTTACAATCATAAATTAAATCCCAAATTCTAATCAACTAAATATTACCCTTTAGCAAATAGACCTGAAATAGGTTGTGATAATTATAAAGATTTGTAATCACATCGAATAACTTTAAATACATTCTCTGCTCATCAAACTTATTAATAAAATGGTTTGGCTGATGTACTATCATAATTACCTTTTTATCAAAATTACGAAGATAACTCAGATACGTATGCATTAGAAGCCATAAAGAAAATTCAAATTAATACTAATGAGGTTTGTTAGAAGTTATCTCCCAAAGATATTGATCAAATCTCAAAAAGTGGATAAAGAGTCTATAAATCTGAAAGAGCCATGTCTTTAATTATTATTATAAGTGTAGGAGTTATTCTTTTCCTTGTTCCTATTTTGTATTTGATGAAAAACAGAGTAGATTTAATTAATTTAATTTTAGATTTTTTAATGGATTGATATGACAGAATTCCATTAACCAAAGTTCTTATGTGGTATTGGATTGATCATTGCCATTTTATGTATTGGATTAGGAGCAGTTTATTTAAGTGAAGTAGATGGAAATGTAATTTATACAATCCTATTTAGAATGGTCTTAGAGAACATAATGCACAATTCTCTAAATATCTTGAAAAAAATTGTTTCCCTGATGATGGCTTAAAATTAGTATCATTATTTATAATAATTTTAGGCTGTTTCTTAAGTAAATGATTTTGCCAAAAATACTTACTTTAACACCTATTCTCTTGTTATTGCAGCATTTTATGCCAGTATCATTTTTATTGTACTTCTAATTATTTTTGTTGTTTACTAATACTTTGCTCATAAATCATTATTTGACAATCCTTGGACTCCAAGATAACAGGAATATTCAGAATTTCATTGATGCATATTATATAATATTCATTATTGAAAATAGTACAAATCATTACTTAAATGTTATAATCACAACATATAATAAATAGCAAATAATTATAAGAACTACCATTAAGATAAACCCATATAAAATGTATTTTCTTTTGTTTTTTCTTTCTACCTTCTTCTCATTTTATGGATCTACCTATATTTCTATGGTAGCAAACTTTTCATTTGTTTTACAAGAAGACCAATAAATTTTATCATTTTAACTTAGTCCTTTCTCAAATTTTTGCAAAGAATTTATTAGATCATTAAAGTAGATTTTCATAGATTTGTTTGTAGAAATATGAACAAACAATCTAGTATCAAAAGATCCTATTCTTAGTTCTTTAGTAATTGTTTATAATTCTTAATTTAAATTTTGAATTTCAGTATCAACTATACTCAAACTACATGGAAATTAATTTACTAATTGTCTAAGTTCTTTAGCATTTGGTTTACGATTATTATTATTTAATATTATAAAATAGGTTTTTAGATTTAAATTAGTGCATTCTTAGAGTATTTGTTTGACATTATCCAATTTTTAAGAAGAATTATCTTGGTACTCACTCAAAAAGATTAGAGATGCTATTTAATAGCTATAATTTTCTTTGATTGTCATATTTCTCATTGTTTAATAGAAATGATAAACTTAATCTTTTAATGCAAAAAGAGGTTTATCATTTTAATCAGTATTTTTTTTTAAATCACTAAATATATCACTTGTTCTTATATTAATAGGACTTATTGTATCATTAGTTTATTAATCAGAACCCATAGATCCTAATTTGCAAGTGAGGTCATCAAAAGAATCCATATAAATTTATCTAATAATAATAATAATTTTAATTTAATTTATTTTTTCGTTTTAATTATGATAATGGCAATTATTTATATTTCTTTAAAAAATAATTTAAAATAACACTACTTCTCACATTCAATTATATTAGTTTTATATATTAAACAGATTCTTTAAGAAATTTTAATACAAAATGAATACCAAAAATCAGTTTGAACAAGAGAGTAGACAAGTAAAGAAGTTTAATAATTTTCATTAAATCATACAACATAATTTTTATTCCTTCTTAACTTCATCCATAGATGACAAATTTGACTCTTTTTATTCAAAAGATAGGAATGGAACAGGCTCTTTTATCATACTAACTTATAAACTTGTTGACTAAGTTGATTATCTTGCAGATGATGTTGGCAAAACTACTGGATTAGGCACTTGCATCTATGCCATAGAAAACCTAGAATCTGTTCTAGTTGAAACAATAATAGGTTCAATTCCATCTTTTTCATACTCTTACTTAACAGCAGTTTATAATAATCTAATAAAAATGCTTGAACTTCTTTCAATCCCTGTTTTAATAACAGCTGATGTTTCTGAGTAAAATCTAATAAATCAAGTAATTCTTACACATTATTAGGTAATTTATTTTTAGCAAATTCAATGATATTGTCATCGTTCCATTTTGCTGATTATCTAATATAAGCTTTATCTGTAGGAAATGGAACTTATTATGCATTTTTCTCTATTTTGAGTTCTTAACATTTGTCTGCAATTCTTTAAATAATCTCTTAATAAGATCCACAAAGATGTTCTTTATCACTCATTGTGCCAATAAAATAATAATAGTTATTTGTTTCTCTAGCATTTTTATAGCATTATGCAAACCAAGTGTTTACTGCATTTTCAAAAGAAACTGGATTATTAAGAGAAAATGCAATAACATAAATATGACTCTTAATTAAAAAGGCTCTGATAAGATTTCTATGTTTATAATAATTAGATTACATATTTTTGATTTCTCCAGTTGTAACCCAAATAAATATTTTCTATTCTGAATTATCAGGTAAAATAACACGAGAAATGAAAAAATCAACTGTTTAGATTTCTTTATCATTTACTTTTGATTCAACATTAAGTAATTATTCAAGAAGTGTACTTTTACCGACACTCTAATCTCCAATCAAAATTACTCTAAATGATAATTCTAAAATACTTAATTCTTCTTTCTTTTGATGATGAAAGAATTGTATTACTATCTTACTCCATTATAAATATTATTTTAATAATAATTTGTTACTATTGAAACATATACATATTGTATAATCATTCAATTCATTTGTTACATCATATTAATTAACAACAAAATCCTGTTTCTTTTTGAACTTATTAAGAACAGCTGCTCTATTCTAAAGTTAAGAAACCAGGATTCATCGTTGTTTAAATAGGTTAAATATGTAAAGAATAATCTAATTTTATAGTTTGAATTATTTCTGATTGTCTCTTCTCTTTCACACTCTTTAAATGATCCTCCCTATCAATATATTCTGTTTTCTGCAGAAACTCAGATACAGACTTTTATAATTAAGGCATTAAATTTGGAGATATGGGGGCGCTGATTGAATATAATTGTTATCGGTCAATACTTATCACATTTTAGACAGAGTTAATAAGAACTCTTTTGAAAGCTTAATATTAATTATCCTTAATTTCTAGATATTGAAAATTTTCTGGTAGAGATTCCTCTATAAAATCATCAACATAAGCAATAGTTTTTCTTATTTCTTTTAAAGATGATTCATTCTAAGTTTATTCTAAGTTTGGCGAAGATCTTATCATCTTATTCTTTATGATTTTTATAATTTCATTGTAAGAACCACATTATCTTAGTTATCCACTATCAGATCCCAAAAATATATATTAGGCACTTTATTTTTAAGAACTTAATTAAAACCAAACATGTAGAGCATTAAGCATACTTTATTATTAGTGTAAGCTAAACATGATAACATAAATATCACTTTAAGGGATAAATGGCATAGATTTAAACCTTCCATATTAATATAAATATACTATTATTAATTTGAATCTAAGGAGATAACCCAATAATGGATTGTTTAATATTAGCAATCCCCTATCCATATATACGATATAAAAAAATCAATTGACGTAATATCTCTATCATTTACTTTACTTTCAACATCAAGCATTTTTTCAATTAATTAATGTTTACCTACTCCTTTATCTCCAACTATAGCAACTCAAATTATGAAAATTATCTAGTACTTTATTGCTTTTTATTTTGATGTCGAAATGATAGGATGCATATCCATTCTATGTAGATTTTAATAATATTAAAATATAAAATTCCATATATACATTTTGACTAAAAGATAAAAAGCTTAAGATTTTATTACAATGTTAATATAAAATCCCTATTTTATAATTTTTATCCTATTCTTAACAATAATTTTTTTTTATATTGTTTTCTTTAATTAAAATTATAAAAGTGATTAATTATATGTCTTTTATAATAATCTCTCTTTAAAATCATAAATCATGTAAATAAGAAATTTATTGTAATGGTACAAGTTTGTGTTATTAAACATATCATCTTTATTGTTATTTAGCTTATTAAATTCATCCTAAATAAAGGATAAATATTTAACTAATAGTTCAAATAAATGAAATGAATGAACTAATAAAATATTAATTATTTTAGTATTCTTAGTTTAGATCAAAAAATGAATCTTACTTATTTTTAGACTCTTTATTTTGAAAAGTTTAAATGTAAATAACAATTTGATCATTATAATCTAGGTTATCTTATTGATAAATTTATAATTATGTGAGTGATTCCTATTAAATAAGTTATTCATATTTATATTAGTATTTAAAATTGACGTTATTCATTTTTCTGAAGCTATGTCATTTAAATCTTTTTACTAGATGGATAACACTATACGGTTTTTTTTAATATTCTCTGCTTTAATTCATTTATAACTATCATTATTTCTAATGCTTCTGTTTTATTTGAGCTAATTTGTCTTATATCTATGTAATTATTTTTCATCTAAAATTTATAAAACATCTTCTGATTTGAAAATTTGAATTTATAAAAATCATTTTATACTATTAATTAATAATATAATGCTCTTTCATATAAATATACTATTTAATTTTGTATTAAAACTGATTTCTAAATTCATTTTCACTATTCATCATTCCAATAGCTAAATATTTATATGTACTACCTTCATAATAATAATGGGCTACACCTTTTAAATCAGTGTCCTTATTAAAATTATGTTATGTTTTATAAATAGATTTTCATGAAAATGTAAAGTTGTCATCAATAAATTATATTTTACAGTAAATAAATAATTCCTTAGATCTAAAATTGAAATTATATGTTAAAATAAGACTTTCTGAGTTAAAAGATAAAAATAGTAACAATTTTTTTAAATATATTAATATAAATTTTTATAAGTGATAAAGATTAATCATTCACTTATACATTTTTAAATTGATTATTATATTTATTTGAATATTGGTACATTCTTCTACTTTACCATCAATGATAATATAAATTTAATAATTCAATGTTTCTATATTAAATATAATTTATATGATATAAATTAACTTCAAATAGAATTATTTAAATTTTTTTCATAAAATCATTTAATAAAACTTTCCAGATAGAAATAAAATTTCTAAATAGAATAACACACTTCAAAGTTCATTTTAAATCCTATAAATCCCATAACCTTCCCTAGAAATCATTAATAATTTAAAGAAAATGTTTAATACAAAAACAATACTATTATTATCCTTTTTACTAGCTATTACATTTTAAGCTAGATTAGATTTTAATGCACCAGAATGCAATAAATATTTGGAAAAATTTGGTACAGCTAACAATCCTGATGGTACAGGAGCTTCTAAAGTTGCATTTACAGGAGATGTTTCTTTTATCGCAGAAACTTCAAATGTTAAAGTTAATATTAGATATTCAGATGTTGAACTATTTAATGATGCTACATATTTTGGATTAGTTCAATAAGATGGAAAAACTCCTGAATAAACTTGTTTAGATATGAAACTCTATAAATATACTACAGAAACCTATTCTGATAAGAGTGAAGTAACTACACTTGAAATAACATCATCCAATAATTTTTAGAAGTAATGGAGATATTATTCATTCATAATTAAAGGAGAAGAATTAAGTACATATTTAGTTTAGTCATCTAACTCAAATCAATATATATATGACGGATACTATGCTATTGCATATTTTGCAGCTGGAACAAATGAAGTTCAATATACATTCTTCTTTTCATTTTAAGTCACTATTGATAGATAATCTGGAAGTTCTATTGATACTGCATTTAAACCTTTGAGTGCTAGATCTACTATAGAGTGCACTCTAGATTAATGCAATGCTAAACCAGATACAAAAATTAATTGGTGTAAAGATTTGAGTTGTTCTGAAACTACCACTCCAAATCTTCATTTAAATGATTAATTTGTTTTATAATAGGTAATTACTACTAAAGGAATGGAGGGATATTATTTGACACAGCCTGAAGTTTGGTATACTGGAGGTGGACTTAATAAAAAGGCTTAGATTTTGAGTTCCAATAATAATGTTAAAGGCTAAATCATTCTTTAATTAAAAGCTGAATTAGCATGGTCAAAAGTTGTAATTAAAGTTTAATCTTTACTTTCTAATACTGCTACAGGAAGTAGAAGATTATTAGTATAAACAACATATGATACTGTTGCTGGTAAAACTGATGAAATTACTTGTATTAAAGTAGAAGGAGAAAATAGATGTGCAACTTGTGCAGAATAAAAAGCTATAAATGGATATTCAAGTGAATAATGCAAAGATGTGGAAGAAGAATTAGGAGAGGAAGAAATAAGCTATTCTCAATAAATGGTCATCGGCTTTGTTTTCTTGTTTGCAATTATTTTGTGAAATTGATTTATTTTTTCATAAAATCATTTATTATAAATCAAAATATTATTATTAAAAGTACAGTATTTTAAGAAGAATACAGAGCAAATAAACATAATAATTAAATGAAAATTGATTATAAATTCAATTAATGATAAAGAATATGTAAATAGTCATCATAATTAAAATATTCTCTGCAAGGATTAAATTGTAATCACAATTCTCATAACATGCCATTAATGTTGAATATACAGTATTTGAAACTCCTTTACATTCCTCATAAGGATAAGTTGCATTATGTTAATTGGCTAAGAAACAATCATTAAAATCTTTCAATGCTTAATTACAAGTACTATCTTTGATGCATTATTAATTTTCCTAAAATTATTTTAAGTTCTTTTTACATTATCACAATTCTTGGCTACACAATCTTATACTTCACTTAAGCTAATTTCATAGCAATTTATCATCATAAAAGTTAAAAAAATCAAGTATTTCATTTATATAATAATTATTATTTTCTAATCATTTAGTATGAATAATATTATGATATATAATTATTATAATTAGATATTATTTGATTATAAATATGCAAATATTAGTTTTTAAGTAATATAAAATCTTAATAAATAACTTTAAATTAATGAATAATATAATATTCTTAGATTGTTTTAATTAATATATTATTGTTAATAAATTATATATAAATATTAAATGATTGTACTAATAGATATCTATTAAATATTCAAACATTGTTTATATTTTAGTTTCTCACTTAAAAACTTGGAAGACTTCTTTCTATCATTTATTTTAATTCCTAAGATAATATTATTTTATTAATACTGGAAATCTTGTCTTCAAATTTTAGTATCTAATTTAACTTTATATATTAGATTATTGAAATTCTGCTAATGATTGATTTTATATTCCTTAATAATTGTCTTTATAAATTTGATAATCCCTCTAAGTTTGAGTCTAGGCAGCAATATATGCATACCCAAAACATTGAACAACAGAGTACTAACAGAAATAGATTTATGCAACTTAATATCTTTAATATTTATAATATAGTATACCCAATGATTCCAACAATAAAAGCAGGTATCATAGGTTAATATAGATTAATCTAGATACTTTATTAGAGTATAGGAAATTGTTATTTAATTGAATTTATCATAAATAGTATACCCAAAAATAAAGTAACACAAATAAGGCAAGCAAAAACCTTTACAATCAATAAAAAGAAGTCATTGATATTTCTTATTATTTCAAAAGTATTCAAGGCTTCCCCATCTTCATTAATTTCTAAAGAATCCTTTACTTTTTAAATAGCATTAGTAATATTATCTTAATTTAGATCAACTTCATAATATAACACTTCTTCAATAGCTTTTATTATATTAATATTTAATATTACTTGATAATGATTTAAATGGATTGCATCTTATTTTAAATATATTATCTATAGTATCTTTGATAAAATCTAAAATAAATTTAATTGGTGAAAACAATAATATAAATGAGATCTTACTAATAACTTATAAATTTAAATTTTTAATAGCATTAGAACAGTAAAGTATCAACATACCTAATTCAAGAGAATCTCTATTTTAAATTTGATTTTAAGAAATCATATTATTAATCCAAATTTTAAAATTGCTAAATATGATTGATTAATAACAACCATTAATAACATAAATAATCCATATTACAAAAATAAATACTGAACTTGTAGAGAGTGAAATTATAGTATTTAATTCAATTTTTTCAAATGGACCTAAATTTTAATCATTTTTTAATTTAAATGTTGAACCTAGAAACCTAATTTAATTATAAATAATTTACAAACAAGTAAGTAATAAAAGTAATAAGAATGAAATTAAGAATCCTAAGAATACATAATTTAAAGGTAGTAGAAATTTATTATCTGCCATAAATATTTCAACATATTCAAATATATCTGCTAAATCTTAAACTCTATCAGAATTTTTGTATAACCAATATGTTCCATATAAAAAAGCAAATACAAAAATGATTCCAAATACAAAATTAACAATTTCATTAGGTTTATTAGTCATTTTATATATATAATCTTCATCAACCTTGAAATTATTAATAATAGCCTATTCAGTTTCATAATTTCTTGCAAAATTCCATTAAGAAATGAAATAGATTCCAATAACTCCAACAATAAGTAAAGAAAATAAAGAGAATGCCCATACTACATATGTTGTATTTACTTTTAATTAATCCAACAAGATAGTACAAATAACTATTATGAAAAAACTGATTATTGCAATGATATGCCATGTTTACATTACATCATTAATAATCATCCCTATCATTCCAGGAGATGAGAAATCTTTAACTCCTTGATAATATTCTAATGAAGTAGGCATACAAACATTTCCTTTGTATTTAAATGACTCATAATAACTTACCATTTTTTCAGGGTATAACACTGTTGTTTATTTCTTACAATCTGGTATTTATGTATTGGGAGCACATTCTAATTCTTATGTATCAGATGTTGGACATTATTTTACACATACAATTCGATATTTATATTCTGGAACAGGATTAACAAAATAAGCATATGGATAATCTTCCAAACCTGGATCTACACCACAAGCATAAGCTAATAGTTTGAATTAATTATTATTTACAATCACTATCAAAACCTCTAGCAATTTTATTAGGTTTACCTAAGTAGATTCCTATAAGAGCTGATAAACAAACTATGATTACTGCAAAGTATAAAACTATTTTACAGACCTTCATTCCTTTATGTAATTATTAAATTTAATAACAGCTTTCATTAACTCAAAAAATTTAGTCTATATGTTTTAAAAAGTCTCTAAATGATGATCAATACAAGACATTTATACTTAATTATAGATCTTCTCTTTTATTTGAAATCAATATTATTATAATAATAACTGCTTAATGTATATTGATCCTGCAGACACTAAAGCATGGGCTGAAGAATTGAAAGAGTATAACAATATTCATATTAAATAGGTATTAAGTTAATAGGAAATAACAAATTGAGTTTACCAAGCCTAAATTCTTTACACAAAAGGAAATGAAATTGAAATAAACTGAGTTCAATCCTGTTTTGCAAACTTATCAAAGTGTTGAAAGAGATGTAAAAGAAAAAGAAAAAGATTATCAAAAAACATCTACTTTAGCATAAAAGAAAATGGTATTAACATCAATATATAGATATATAGGAAATGGTCAAAAAATATTTACATGAATATGATTTAGTTAATCTTGAACAAGTTCCTGGTATTGAAAGACCAGATGAAAGAGAGAAAACTAAATAATGTCTTGTATTTTTATATATTATTATTCATAGTTACCTCCTAATTTTAATGATTATAATATTATAACAAATGAAAAAAAAAGTGAAGAACATTACAAAAATATGAAAATAGTTGTTTAAAAGAAAGTACATGAAAAACCTGTTATCAATAGAAATAAAAGAGATTTCAACATTATATCTAATAAGTAACAACAATTTAATTCCTTAGATTTCTTGAAAATCATGAATCAAAACAATTAGAAAAAGATTAAGCTACAGTCAGTGAAATTAATGAAAAATGCAAGAAAATTAGAAATTATGATATTGTTTAAGGAGCCTTCTATGATGAAGAAAAAGAACAACAATATTAATAGTATATTATCCCATAAAACTGAGGAAATTAAAATAAGATCAATAATAACATGGCAAACATTTTAATGATAGGTTCCCTCCATCTTGGAAATTTAGAGAATCTGTATATTTAGATCAAACTAAAGATATTCCTGAAGAGATTAAAATGATTGATGAAATCAATAGAAATCATAAAAAAAGATTTGAAATTAGACATGTTTTAGAAAATGAATATAGAGAAAAAGATGTTTAAGATCAACTTAGAACTTAAGATAGATTAATTAAAAGACATAAATATGATGATATGATCAAAAAATATGATAAAGGTATATATATATATATATTATACCAGAATTTGATATCTTAACCTTATAAAAACCAGAAATTGATCATATTATAAAAGCTTTACCTCCTAAACCACCTCTCAATTCTTGGGATAAAGTTTAAATGACTAAATCACCCTCTGATGCACCATTAAAAGAAATCAGTATTCCTGATGGTATTGAATTTTAAGATCATGGAAATTCTCCTTAAGATAATTAGGTTAGAGTAAGATTCCCATAAGTAATGAGATAACCTAGTGAGAAATCATAAAAATCAGTTCCAAATTCATAAAAATCTGTTATACAATCTTAAAAGTCTAATCCAGGTCAAACAGAAATTAAATCAGGAGGTTTTTTCTGAATTATAAGAAAATAAATTAAAGTCAGATAAAATTCAATAATTCTGATTATTAGAATTCATTATCTAATACTTTAAATTTAATAAATAGTTTTTCTTTTCTTTTTTAATTTTTTATATATTAAATTATCTTTATTTCATTATAATAAATATGTAGAAATAATTAAACAAATTAACTATTGAGAAATTCTATAATAAATTAGTATTATGCGTTTTCTTAGAATATACTATTAATTAATTCATTCTCTATCTTAGTTTAGATTCTTAAAAATATAAGAAAATATTGAATAATTATAAAAATGAAAAATTGTCAACTACAAATGTAATATATGTTAAATAACCGATATTTTAATACTTATTTAAATAATTTAACATTATTATTAATGGATCTAGTAAGTTATATATATTCAATGAATTTCAACTCGAGAAAGATCATAGAAATTTTAATTTATCTATAATTCAGTTCTTGAAGTTTATATCATTTTAAAATCCTTTTTAAAAACAATGACTATCAAAATATTGCACAATGGCATGCTTATTTATTTTAATTCTTTTTAGCTTTAATACTAGATGTTGGTTAAATATTTTCACCGGTATTGATATTAACTAATATACTATTTTCAAGGTTATCATGTCCATCTTTATATATCCAGATGTTTTATTTTTCTTTAATATTCATTAATTATTTTAATAATAAACATCAATCACTTCATATTATATTTCAAATGCCAAGTTGAATTTACTATTTCTCAATAATATTTAAGGTTCACTCAATAATTTCTTATCGCTTAATCTTAACCAAGTTCCATTTTTTGAATTTTAATCATCTATAATGAATTTTGGTATCCCATCTTTTTATACATAAGAAATTATGCAATGGATTTAAGATAATGATTGATGTATTGGATATCCTATGAATTAGTAATTAGCTCTCTTTAAATCTCTACCTATACACCAAGTTTCACCAATTTTTAGATTAATTTATTTTGTATCAATTTATTCTTTATCAAATGCAAGAATTAAGATTCCTTCTTTTTCGTTTACATCTATTATTTGAAAAGCTTGTTTGTCTCCAATATAAAATACCATAGCTTTTTATATTCTCATTTTATAAGCATTTACAAAAGTCCCTCTTTTAGATCCTAAATCCTATAAATGAAACCTATCTTTTCTATTTCATAAAAATACCATTAACAACTATGATCCTGGCATGTTTTGAGGAAATCTTGGATTAATCTTATAGAATATACTGATTATCCTAACTTCTACCAAATGTTGCTCCAATCAAATTTATTAGCAATATCTAAATAGTAATGTATAATTATGTACTTTATGAAATTGTTCAGATTTAATCTTCATTTGATGACTGACATTTAGAATAAATGGATTAATTATAACACTTTATAAAGTAGCTGATTCAATAGATGTAATCAATTTTATTCTTTTTTATCTAGTTGGAGTTCTATTTTATACTTCATCTTTCTTTTTATCACTTTATTATTAAGTAGAACCTTTTGTCTTAGTATTATTTTCATATATTTTCTTATCCTCATCTTTTTATACTTCATTAATTATGTGTTAAATATTAATGGATTAGCCAAAAGGATCTTAAGCTCTTTTAGTATTATTATTATTATTATTATTATTATTATTATTATTATTATTATTATTATTATTATTATTAACTAATACAGATTAACCCATCATTACTGATTATCCTACCATTTCTGATTAACCTAAACCATTGTTATTTGGATCTTAAAAAATTACTGATTATTGCATTTATTAAGTTTAATTTTAAGGAAATGCTACAGAACCTTACATTGTATTAGAAAAATAAACAGATCCCTCCATTAATTTCTCTTACTTTTCTTATTAAGGAAAGTAAACTGACTCTTACATTTATTATTATTATTATTATTAAGGAGGAATAAAATAAACTGATTCTTACATTTATCTTTACTCATTTTATGGGAAAATTACAGATTCTTACATTTATTAATGTTAGTTTTGTATTTAAGGAAAATGCATAGATTCTTACATTGGCTTAATATCTTATTATGGAAAATATACAGACTCTTGCATTTATTATTATTATGGTGTTTAGAAATACACACTTTCTTGCATTTCTTAATTTTATGTAAAATAAACAGATTCTTACATATTTTTTTAGTTATCAGTTGAATTTTTGGAAGAATCTATTAAAGGAGTGGCTTCAGTAGTTGTAGTTTCATTTGTAATAGCATCAGTAATTGAAATATTTTGAGCTTTCTATTCTAATTCTTTTTAGCAATAAATGAGATCCTATCTTTAACGTACACTGCTTTCAATTCCTGAAGAAGCCTTTTAAATTTTCTATACATCCGCATTAGTTTTAACATGATTAACTGAATTGGATCTAAAAGCATCTATGGCAATTGATTCATGGCGACCACCTTCTAAATTGAAAACTTTAAAAGTTTCTAAATTATCTGATGTTTATGCTTTTTTATCAGGAGATTTCTTCCAAAATTATGGACATTTGGCTTTAAAATAGAATAAATCATAATAATCAAAATGATTAATTTATTAACCTTCTGTTTAAAATTGATCAATTTCTAAACAATTATAAATAGTTTAATTTAATGTATTGGCTAAGTAATATAACATTAAAAAGACATTTTGAATATAGGTATATTTTTAAAGTTAAGTAAGTTTAGAATGAGTCTATAATCTAATATTTTGAATTTTTGTATTATTTGATAAATTGAAATCAAATAGTTTAAGTAATTAACTGGTTTCTGTAAATGGGCATTTACCCAAAACAGAAATCACAAATCCATCAATTAGATTTTATCTAAAAAGTTAATCTAAACAATCTAATTTAACAATTTTTAATAGAACACTTACTTAATCAATATCCCAAAAAAGTGGAGATTCTTTAGGTAAATATTATGTATTAGTGTATAAAAGTTTAATGAGATTTGATTTTATATAAATGTCATTATTTCTTCTATGTTCAATTGTTTTATCTGATATAAATATTTACTTAACATAACAATTAATTTACTAAAGAATTTCTTATAGTAATTCACATGTACATTTTCCTTCTGGTCCAGAACATCTACAACATTTTCCTCTTGTACATATTTTACTTCTATGCAATCCTTATAATCTTTTAAGTGATTGACGATTAGCCTCATACATATTAAGGATAAATGACCATATTTTTAATTTAATGATTTGATATTGAATGTTTTTATCGATAAAATTACGATAAAAGAATTAATTTGCCAAACAAACTTCCTTTATAACATCATTCTGTAATCCTTAAGCTTCTAAAATTGATATTTTATCTTAGACTTTATCATGATGTCTTTTTTATTTGGCACCAAGTACATTATTTAAAAGTAAATGATCTACATTTAATTGTTTATTATTATGAATCTAAAAATCATAAGCTTCAATTTTATACTCTTAATATTTCTTTAGCCCATTCAAGTTTGTAATGATCACAAAAATTTCGTATTTGGTCTATTGTCCATTAAGAAGGAGGTGTTTTTTAAGAGTTCAATGATTAAAAGATGGACTCTAATTATGTTAAATTCATATAAATTAATTCAATAAAATTATGCTTTTTAATTGTCTTAATTATGCAAATCAGTATGTTTTTCAATCAAAATAATATCTAATTTTAATATATAGAACTTAAGAATAGAGAATATGAACATTAAGATTAATATTTAGAAGTTTAACATCTTCATATTCTTTTAAATTCTCTTATTAATTAATAAGATTTCTATACATTTTAGGATTATTCTAAATATTATTTATTAACAATAAGTGATAATTAATTGAATATCTGAATACATAATTCCCTCTTATTTCTCAATTTAATAGCTTTTAAAAATTAAGAAAGTATTAAGATTTATTGATCCGTTTTTCTTTTATTAATGATAATAAATTAATGCTTTCCTATAAATTAATAAACAATCTCTTAAGTTTAGGGATTAAATGAATCTTAATATAAATTTATCCTTTTTCGTCTCAAATTGATCCAATTTTAATATTTTATTTAGGGAATTGAAATTTAAAGATAAAATATATTCCTTATTAAAATTTAAATTTCCTAGGATTCTTCATTAAAATTAACTTTATTAGATATAATTTTATATAAATCATACATATTTATTATTAAAAAATAAAATAAATTCCTCTCATTAAAAAAGGATTTTGGAATTGGATAATTTTATTCTGGCTTGTTTTATACCTTCAGTAAATAATATAATCTCAATCAAATATTCAATTTTGTTAGGTTAGTTAATGTCTTTTTACTTAATAGTGTATACTTCTTTATTGGAAAAGTATGTATCAGCCCCCCATTATAAATATACCTAAGAGATTTAACTATTTAGTTAATTAATTATCTAAGGAATTTAATTTTGCTTGATGTTCATTCATCATCAGTGCTATTTTCAAATATTCAAAAAAGTTGTATTGTTTTTTCTTTTATATAATGATTTTATTATAGATTTAAGAATTAATTACCTTCAAAAATTATCCATATAATCCTTCTTCTATAACATTTGAGATTATAAATATCTTATTAATGTGATCATCTATTTGTACTAAATGTTATTGATTCATATGAAATTAATAATATTTTATTTCAGTATTTCTAAAAAAGAAGGGATGGTAACATATAGAATTTTTATTTATATATTTATTTGAATATCATTATTTTATCTCCTCATTGACTCTCTTTTTTCCATCAGCAGTCACTTTTAAGGTAACAATAATCTTGACTTTGGATCTGTTATCTTCAAACTTCTAAGTGTATGTATTGATTTTCTCAATAGTCACATAATCTAATAGTTTATCTATAACAGTTACTCTATCTTTGAAGTTATTCAGCCATTCTTACTGCTTTTGAGATTGTATCCCCTAATGCATGTACTTCCACAACATCAAATTTCTTCAAATAAATTTTGGCAACAAACACTGATGTTTTAGGATGAGTCTTTCCACTCAAGTTATAAGCATTAGTCTCTGGGTTGACGAGAGTCTTCTTTGATTAATCCATAAGTTATGAAGGATTCGTAATAAAATATAAATATTGCTAAATTTCATAATATATTTATAATTATTTCATGCAAGTTTCTTATCAATTGCATCATCTTATTGTAATACCTCTTATTCCTCATGTGATTTAACCTAAGGTCTCTTATATCTCCCAATATTGGAAAGTTCATATTAACCATAGACACAAACGATTAATGCAAAAAATACACACGGTATTATTGAGGCTACCCAAGTAGCAGCCCATTCAACAGTATCATTATAATCCTTCAAATCATCCTCTCCTTCATAAATAAATCTCTATAAAAAATTTTATAACAATTATCTTACTCCCTTTATAAAATTCAAATGTTTTCCTTCCAAATTTATTCTTTATAAGTTTTTCAAAGTATTTAATTCTAATAAACTCTTCAATAATTCAACTTTAATGAATTAAGGTTGTGTCAAAACAAACCAATTTGCATCCTCACATGGTCTATGATATCATATGACTAAATCATTACGGTATATTAAGCGATGCTTTATAGGACACAAAGCTACTCATATCTGAATAGTAAGCACCAAGTATGTTTTATTTGAAATTAAAAAATGTAGTAACATCAAGATTTTTTGAAACATTCATGTTTATTGCATATCTAATATCTTATGTCTCTGTTAGTCCATATATTGGTATTGATAATACTGCATAAAGAGGTTCTGTTTCACATTATTAATAAAGTGTATCCTAAATGAAATATACTTAAATCTCAGCATCAGGAACTTATGTCCAAAAATCAAAATTATGTTCTGCTAATCCTATTGTAAAATATTGAGATTCATATCTAGCAATATTGTTGATGCCCCATGATGTCAATTTGATTTAATTTGTCTTATATTTTGCTTATGGTTCTGAGGTATTATTCATCACTAATTCAATCATTTCTTAAACATCTAAACTTATCTTTTGACTTAGTAAACTCACCTTAGAAACCTCAAAATTCTTAGTCTCTGTTGTTATTCCCTATTTACATTGTCCAAATTCTAATATAAAATATTGATTAATACATGTTATAGTTTGATAATTCCATTCATTATTTGAAGCATTAGGATTGTCTAATTTAAATAAATAACTTAAAATGGAAGATTATTCAGTACACAAAATTGCTTTCACGTATAAAATTTCACAAATAAGCAACAATAAAGTGTAATGCATTTAATTTATATTTTTTTAATTATCTGTTATTCATTAATTATATATAGTCTAGTATTACCAAGCTTAAATCATTTAAAAAGATTTTACATTATAATTTATTAATTAACATTTTAATTGAATGAGAATATTAAGAATCTAATTTTTTAATTGTTATTAGCTTGAGAAAGACTGAATATTTGATTCTCCTTATTTAAAATCAATCCATAATAAGTAAATCAATTATATTAAACACTTAAGTAATCATTAAAATATTATATATCATAAAACAACAATAATTATAATATTTATTTGATATTTGAAATCATAATTAAACTAGCAATTCATTGGTAACATCAATGATTTAGGATAGGAATTATACTTTTTAATGGTCAAGGTTCTATTATGAGAATTGTTCAAACATTTTAATCTCTTATTTCATTTATTCTATCATCAAATCCCTATTTCTCATTTGTTAATGAATATTTTATAAATCAGTTTAATATTGAGCTTTTATCTTTTATAATTCTTTATCTCTTTCATCATTCATTTTTTATTTTTACAAATCTAAATTAGGAGGCTCTTAAATTATGACTTTTTATTCAAACTAATTCTCTGATGAAGTATTTTTGAGATTTTGTAATTCAATATCTTTTTATTTTGATTCCTCTGTTAATAATTATATTTTTGTATTCAAGTAATTAATCTAATTCAAAAATTAACTATACTTTCTTTTCATAAATCTATTGCATCAATAATATTTCTTATTATTTAAGTTATTCAAGCTTCTTTATTTCCTAATCCATAACGTTAAGAATTTAATAAATTAATAAATGGAATGAGTATTAAGATAAATAAATAAATGAATATTTTAATTACAGGATGTAATAGGGGATTAGGAATGTTATTAGCTAAAGAATTAAAAAATCATAATGTTATTGCAACAGCCAGAGACATAAATAAGTTAAAATAAGCATTACATGATTAAAAGCATTGCAGTTTGGAATCCTTAGATGTGAGTAATGAAGACAATATTAAATAATTTATCACTACCATTAAATAACCAATAGATATTCTTGTTAATAATGCAGGTATCATAGAAACACAATTACCTAATAAAAATAATCTTGCATAATAAATTTTTAAAGTGAATTATTATGGAGTGATCAATTTAACAAGAGCAGTCTTACCTTACATGAAAGAAAATGGAAAGGTTTATAAAAATGTTAATATTATTTAGATTATAGTGATATCATCTAATTTGGGAAAATTAAGAATCCAAAATGCTATTATTTAAGAATAATTGAATAAATGTAATAAGGATTAACTTGAGAATATGGTTCAAGAATTTATTAAGAATGTAGATTCAAAGAATGATTTTGGAGAATGGTCTAAAGAATATAAAGGAATTTATTCAGCATCTAAAGCTTTAATAAATGCTTATTTTAGACATGTGTTATCAAAAGAAGTAAAATAATAGGTGTTTTGTATACATCCAGGTTGGTTAAAGACAGATATGGGAGGACCAAATGCACCTAAATAGCCTGAAGAAGGTATTATTACTAGTTTATATGTTATCAAAAATAAAATAGATGGAACAGGTTTATATTTGAATGATAAATGTGAAATAGAAGAATTTTGAATGAGAAATTTGATTATAAATAATGATAATTTATTATATATTTGGACTTCTTTTGTATTGTATAAATGCAGCACTTGATTATCCAACAGCTTGTGATTGCAATGAACATATAGATAAAGAGGCATGTGAAAGTCATAATTGTTTTTGGACATAATCTGAATGTAGAATAGCTGAATGTAATGAAAGATCATTATAAAATTGCATAAATGCATCTTAATTTTTAAGTTAAAATCCACATTATTGTTTTATTAATAATGGAAGATGTGATAAATTGATGAGATGTGAAGATCTTCAAATAAATTAAAATAATATTGGATAAGCTAGAGAATAATGTTAATTATATTAATGTGCTTATGATCTTGTAAGTGGATATTGTTTCAAACCATAAAAATGTGATGATATTTATGATCAATTTACATGTGATAGTTTTTTGATTGCTAAAAGTAATCCATTAGAAATAGATTCTATATGTTATTGGGATGGAAAATGTAAGGCTAGAAATTCATTTATTGATAATTGTGAATCTATTAAAGATAAAGATATTTGTTTACAGGGAGGATGTTAATATGAAAAGGAAGAATGTAAAGAGATTGATTGTAGAAGTAGAAATATTAAAGAATGCAATGGAGAATATGTAGATCATTAAGGAAAAGTATTTGTATGTTATGAGAATAATGATAAATGTGATAAAATATAGACAGAGAAATTGCATAAAGTTGTATGTAATTCAATGATTGGACATACATATAAAGAGAAATAATGTAGAAAATGCATTTCATATGCTGAACATTGGAAATGATTTAATTATAATAAATTATGTTAGTGTAGTTTAAAATGAGTTGTTTGCGCAAACATTTATTGAAGAGCAAAACATACTATTTGGAAGTTCTTTAAGATCAAATGATTTTATCAGAAGTAAATCTTTGAGTAAGCATGGTAGCATAAGACTATGCAAAATCCAAAATATGTAGTCCAATTCAACTTTGAGTCTCGTGTAATGTGGAAGAAATCAGAACATGAATAACTTTGTTGCTTTGGTATCCTTTACCAAAAGAGAATCAAATGGTTCTGGGGGGACCATAAAGAATTGAATCTTCTCAAAATGTACCTCTCAAATAGGGTTTTCTTTGGGAATATATCAATTTTCTATGAATCTAGTCAGATCATTGGTTCTGGTGCATCCTCGAAGGTAATTCTGCTTTCCCTCACTCTCAGGTGTGTCTCGTGAAGCGGAACACAGATGTTTTGTACTACGCAGCAAAATGTATCTCAAAGAAGTATCTAACAGGAAAAAAGTCTAATGATCGTATAGTATGTACATTTAACAATATCTGATAAGGCTAGATTGTAATCTGAGATAGAGATTTTATAAAAGATTGACAATCCAATATTTGTCAAATTACTGGAAATTTATGAAGGAGACAATTCTTATTATTTGATAACTGATTATTATGAAGGTGATACTCTGTACAATTTTATTCGAAATACTCAAAGTGATACTTTACCAAGTTACATAGTAAGGGATGGAATTAAAGTTACACTAAATAGTTTATATAATTTTAGACCTTATTGCTTGGTCTTCAATATTTAGAATCTTTGGGTTTGATACACAGAGACATCAAACTAGAGAATATCCTATTAGCCAAATAGAATGAAATAAAGTCCCTAAAGATTATAGATTTTGGATTGGCCATCTATGAAAATTTATGTACCAAATTATCTGTTTGTGGAACACCTGGTTATATTGCTCCTGAAATTCTAAGAGTAGAAAACTAATAAAATGAATATTTCACAACAAAATGTGATGTATTTAGTGCAGGAGTTATATTCTATAAATTGTAATATAATATATATATACCTATTTATATAGATTAACTAAAAGAACATTATTTAGAGCTGAAAATACTGCAGATATTATGAAAGCAAATACTTAATGTGATATTCATTTAGATGAATTATAATTAAATGTATAGAAAGAAGCACTTAATCTATTAAAATTAATGTTAGAACCAAATCCAAAATTAAGACCAACTGCTTCATAATGTTTAGAACATCCATATTTCTATTGTTAATTAGAAGATATTAGAATAATACAGGAAATTCTAGATAAAGTAACAGGATGTTCAGAATTTACAAGTATTATTTATTTATTTATAATTTAATAAAGAAGAATAACATTAAGATACTCATTCAGTTCCTAATGAGAGTTAAGCTGCTTAGATTAAAAGATGTCCACCAACTTAATATAGAGTTAGAATTGAATAAAGAAAAAGAACTAGGAGTCCTAGAAAATATGCAGATTTTCAATTCTATTTACCATCCTTCTGTTAGATGACTTCTTTTGAAAGTGAAGGTAATTCATCTAATTCAAGTAAATCTTCAAGAATTGAGAATATAATAATCAATGAAAAAGAAAGTGAAAAAGATTCAGTAATAGAGGAAAATAATAAGTTTCAACAGTGATTAAAACCTGCATTTTTCACTTTTCAATTATAATAGATAATCTATATATAAAAATAATTAATAATTAAATGATTTCGAATCCTATGCTTGAATCTGATTAGAACAATTAACAAACACGTAGTGGACAATCATAAGGAACATATTAAATGGTAAAATCTAATTAAATTGAAATTTCTGTCAAAAATAAACTTATTGAATAAGAAACAGAATATCCCAAAGTGCCATAATCAAGAAAAACAGAAAAATTATTTTGCACTAAATGTAATCAAGTAGTTGAATCTGATGTTCAATATGAAATGGGTAGATGTAGTTATATTGTAATGATTATACTGATTGCTGGTATCATTACAGCTATATTTGCCTTTCTTCCTTGTCTACTTGATAATTGTAAAGATGCCTAACATAGATGTTCCAAATGTACTAAACTTATAGGTACCAAATAATTTATGTGTGGATGATAACAATTACTAGTAAACTATATATTATTATTAATATTTTATGATGATCAGATCCTTTCATTCAATTTCCTTTCAACAAATCTCATACACACCTCCTTAAAATTAACTTCGTAGAAGTAGTTGTCATTGTTCCCATTGTTCCAGTTCAAATATTAAATAAATAACATTACCTAATTAGCAATATGAAATTGTCATGCATAGAAAAATAAGACTTGCAAATATAATTATACAAAATTTCTAACCAACTGATAAATATTTAAGATCCAAACAAAAATATAAGAACTTTAGAATCTTCTCTCATAATCGCTAACAAAATATCTCTACAGATAATCATAAATCTCCATCTATAGATTAATAAGATCAAATTAAAGATCATTCCTAAAAAAAGAGAATATCCCCTATATAATCACATTATTCAAATTCAAAATAGTCAAATTTTTACTTTTTAAATCATCTAAAAACATAAATGACACGAATAGATAACAACTTAAATTAATTAATATAAACTAGTAGATAATAAATCACTGAACCAGATGAACCAATTATTACATCTAAAAGAACTAAATAAGCTATTATTAAGACAATTAAAATTAATCATCCTTATAAATCTGCCTATAGTATCAGTCTTAACAAAAGATTTGGGCCACCAAAGAAAATGCATACTAATCCTTCTAATCTACTAGCAAGAACTTAATAAAGTTTATCTAAATATGCCCTTAATTGTATTAATTGATAATTTATAAAATATTTTTGCTTATTAAATTAATCTCACTTTACTAATATTATTTTTATCAATCTAATCAAAATTTAAATTATTTCTCTTTTTTCTATGTTTAATAAAAAATAAATCATTTTTAAAAACAATTTTACATGATTAAAAATATTACAAAGAATTTAAAGATTTATATATTCAATTCATCTAAAATATAAATTTAGTAAAATATTAAGTTATTTAATATATTCATAAATACAATAAAATCTATATTTTAATAAATATATTAAATATATCTCATAATATTTTTATAAAAAATGAATTAATAATTTAATACTAAAGTAATAGCAATTTGTGTTATTTATCATAATATATATATATATATATTTTAATGTTCATTTAACTTTCACTCTATCAAATAATTTATCTACTACTCCATTCAAATTATTAATCAAACTAAGGGAATGTTGATATAAATTATCATGTTTAATTGTATCAAACAATATTAAACAATCATCTCCTTAATCTAAAGTTCCATCTATTTTCTTGTCTAAAATTAATTCTGATAATCTTAAATTATTAATTGATATATTTTACTTTCTTTATATAATTTCTACATCAATTTACATTCTTTAAGTGATATAATCAATTTAAACTTTAGAATATGGTTATATGACTTGAAATAGATTCATTTCTAATAAAACTTCATATAACTATTTAATATGTAATTTCATAACTTTATCACCTTCTATTTCTTCTCTATATTCTTCTAAAACTTTAGTAAATTCAATAAGAGATTTCTTTTAATTACTATTAGAAATTGCTTTCATAGCTTCTAAATTCTAATATTAATATTATATATATATAATTACTCTTCCTGCATATTTTAAACCATATTTTCCAGTTAATATTTATTTGACTTCATCAGTAGCTCCAATCATAATTTTACATAATAACATATATTTAAGTGTACTTAAAGCTCTTTTGTCTTCTAAATTATTGAATGCTTCAAATGCTTCATAAAAATAAGAATAAGATGTTCTATAATCTCTTTCTTCTGCATAGAGAATACCAGCCATCATATCAATTTCAGCTTAAACATGTGGTGGACAATAGATTGTATTTGAACATGCTCTAGCTGCTGTTAATGAAGCTTTGGCTTTAGCAAGATTTGTTTATCCAAAATGTAATTTACTTTCAATAAGATAAATTTCTAATAATAAATGTTTATCATCAGCTTTTCTTACTTCACCTACAATCTTATCTATGATTTCAATTCCTTAAGTGAATTTTTCTTATTCATTATATAATGTTGCCAATCTTATTTACATCTTATGTTTTAAGTAATTCTTTTTATCTCTTGCACATTAATCAATTAAGAATTAACACATTTCAACTTATAATTCAATTGTGTTTTCTAATTATGCTACTTAATCAATCATTTATCTCATAATTTTTGCTGCTCTTGTTTAATTGAATCCAGAGAAATCATGTGTTTTCATAATATGAAATACTAATTGAGGTTTGTTTTATTTGCAATACAATTATGATAATTTATTATATGCACTTTCCTTATGTTTTAGATGCTCTTCAAATTTTGAATCTTTTTCTATCATTATTAAAATATACCAAATGTTAACAATTTCAAATAAGCTGCTTCTAAATGATTTGTATCTAATCTAGCATTCTCAATTTCTTTTAAAATTGTTTGAAATTCTTCTCCAAGTGTAGCCATTCGTATTTAATTGATTGATTTAAAATTAAAAATTAATGATAAAGAATACTAATGTGAACTCTTTTAGGTTTGATTTTAATTTATACTATTATGTATTTTGAATCAAATATACAAATAATATAATTTATCAATCGTCTTATCTCTTTTTTATTCAATATTCTCTAAAGTTTATGAGGGTATTGATAATTTGGATATAAATAAAAAGATTTCAAAAAGAATATAAAAATCTTGTGAAAGAAAATGAATACTTTAAATTATGAAGTGTTAGGAGAGAAATTAGACAATAATGAAATTGATAAAGAGAACTCATTCACATATTAAGAACCTCATTATCAAGTTGATAAAGAGATGGTAATGATTCTGATTAAAATGAACTAGTTGAATGAATAATAAGATGATATTCAATTGTAAGTCTATTCACCATAGTAGTTATTACAATTTAAAAAACAAAATCCTGTTCATTTTGATGAATTCATTTTAGATGAAGATCCAAAAAAGAAAGTTTGCATCTAATGGAATAATATTACTGTTGAATAATCTGAACATCAACAAATGGGAGATTTGGAGAGATTAGCATAACAATTATAAAGACAAAATCATAAGAAATTTTCATATCCTAAAGATTTACCAGCTCCTTCAAATGTCAATAATCATTTAGAAGAATTGACAATGCGTTTTAGTCCCTCTATAAAATAAGATGATTTTATTTCTAATTATGTAAATAAAGATGATCTACTCAGAATCAAAGTTGGATTATGTGATCAAATTTTGAATGATGAAGAGACTCTCAAATTTGAAGATTGGGTTGAAAATTTGTGTACATCAACAAATTATGAATCTCTTAAAGAAATGGCTAGGAAATAAAAAGTTAATAGATATCTTGAAAAAAAGCATAATCGTACTTATGAGAGAAAAGTTCATTATCACATTAGACAAAAAGTTGCTGAAGACAGATTAAGAATCAAAGGTAGATTTGTTACTTTTGGTTAAGTATTATATATATATAATTCATTATATTAGGCTTTAAAAATGTTAAATGAAAAAGATTAGAGGAAATCTTGTTGTTAAAATGATTATGCTAAAATCAAAGATTTAATGAATGAAAGATTTCTAGGAGTTAAAAGCAAAAATTCGCTTAGGTTTTGATTGTTTACAACTTTTGAGTATTTAATATTATTATATTAATTAATGAATAAATAGTGTTCCATATGTAATAAGGAATTCTCCTGTATCAAAATAAATGTAAAAGATGTGGAATTGTAGTATGTCTTGATTGCAATAAAAATGAAGTTAAAGTAGTTATCTACTTCCTAGATATCTTCTTCCATGTTGAAACCAATTAAAAAGGAGAAATTGTGTCTTTAATGAAAAACTCATTGTTTATATATGGAACAATAATTAGACTAATTGCATTTGTTTTGGAATTAGGAATCCAAATTATAAATTAATTTCTTTTCATAATATCTCAATCAAGATCAATATAAATAAAAAATCAAACAAAGATTAAGACAATTATAAATAGAATCTTGAATAAATTAAATCTGATTTAATTAAAGTATTTTCATTAAAAATATTTTAGTGAGTGTTTCATTATCTAAAAAATTTTTAATTATTCATTTTAAGATTGAATTTGTCATTCAACAAATTATGTGAAAGTCAATTAAATATTTGATGACAAAGAAAAACTATTAATTTTGTATAGAAATTCAGAAGTCGGATATTATTGTGAAGTTTAATAGTTCTAATGGCCTTAATGAAAGATTAGGCTGCCTTACAATTATTATAATAGCTCAATGAATTAATGCCATATGAATATTGGCCTAATTCTAAATAGGAAACTAATTTGTAAATTTTAAAGTAAGATTTTTAACATGCTTTCAAAATTGATTCAACTCAAATTTCTTAAGTCAAATGGTTTATGGGATTCTTTTCTACATTAAATTCATAGAGTTTATTTATTAAAGGATTAAATTTCTCTTATTTTCATATAATATTTTTTGAATAGATGAATTTTGAAGTCATTTCAAATATATTTGATTGTGGTTGCAAAATTTAGTTATAAATCATTGGATAATTTGGTTTTGATTACAAGACCATAAGTAAGTAAATACTTACCAAAACTGATTATAAATGATTCTTATATATACAATAATATTTAAGCCATCACATAGATTAAAAAATAATAAGATTAAAAGTTTGGAAATTCTCAATTAAAATTTTCAAATTCTAAAAGTAGTATGATTAGAAAACTTAATTATATTTGTAGGATAGAAAACAGAAGTTTTATAGATACTCTACCTTAATTAATGATGCAATAGAATTCCTAGAGGGAAATTAAAGTAGAGGACAATTTCATTTTTAATATTTAGAATGAAGTAAATTTATAAATAATTTAATTTATGAAGATGATTAAACAAAAGAAAAATGAACTTTATGAATTACAAATAAAAAATTTTGATCTAAAAAATCAAAGTCAAAATATCAAACAAATATTTAAATATGATTTTGATAATTATATATAAATGATTGATAAGATTTCATAAGAAATTAAATAAGAATTAATATAAGGTTTATAGAGATGCTACTAGAAATGATAATGATTATTATATTTAAATTTTATCAAATTTAAGATACTTTTTTTATAAATTAATAGGAATTCATAGAATTATTTTATATTATTGAATTATATTAATTAAAAATGATTTAACAAGAAAATCAAAAATATAAATTTTCCTCTAAGAATTACATCAATCCTAATTCCTCCTTTAAAAAATATGTCAAATGTGAAATTAATGATGAAGATAAATAACAAATCTTAAAAGAGGAAGCTCATCGTTCATAACTTTCTACTGAGGATTTTGAAGAATCCTCTTAAATTAATAGCTTAAATAAGAGAGGGAAGATATAAAAGAAAAAGGATATGAATCAAGTTTATAAATCAGAAACAAAAAATATTCCAAAAAATTTTGGAGTATTATTGAAAAAATATTTAAGTATTCTATTTAACTTACAAATTTAGGTAATAAATGGAGAGAAAATGAAGCAATTAGGTAATTTGTAAATAATGGGGAGAACAAAAAGAACTTTTCTAGATAAGATTTTACTAAACTCTTTAATGATGAAGCAGCAGCATAACTATCAAGAGAGTACTTCTCTGGATTTCAAATAATACATGATCTTATGATAAGTGAAAAAATATAAGACATCAAAATCCATCTTAAATATATCAGCAAATTTTATAATTCTACTTTCAATAAAGAGGAGCTAGATGAATTAAAATTATAATGACATATGTTATTTTATAAATAAAAATCTTCCTTAATATTAATATCCTATGTAATAAACATTACTGTTTTCAAAATATCATAATTTACTTAGAATATTTAAAGGATTACATAGGTTAACTTAAATGAGCTGATGAATTTTGTAGATATAAAATAATAATTTTATTAATTAAATACTTTAATAAAATTCTACCTTATTTAAACTTTAAAGAAGTATTAATAGTATTGAATCAAACTAAAGCTATGGNTATTTGTAGGATAGAAAACAGAAGTTTTATAGATACTCTACCTTAATTAATGATGCAATAGAATTCCTAGAGGGAAATTAAAGTAGAGGACAATTTCATTTTTAATATTTAGAATGAAGTAAATTTATAAATAATTTAATTTATGAAGATGATTAAACAAAAGAAAAATGAACTTTATGAATTACAAATAAAAAATTTTGATCTAAAAAATCAAAGTCAAAATATCAAACAAATATTTAAATATGATTTTGATAATTATATATAAATGATTGATAAGATTTCATAAGAAATTAAATAAGAATTAATATAAGGTTTATAGAGATGCTACTAGAAATGATAATGATTATTATATTTAAATTTTATCAAATTTAAGATACTTTTTTTATAAATTAATAGGAATTCATAGAATTATTTTATATTATTGAATTATATTAATTAAAAATGATTTAACAAGAAAATCAAAAATATAAATTTTCCTCTAAGAATTACATCAATCCTAATTCCTCCTTTAAAAAATATGTCAAATGTGAAATTAATGATGAAGATAAATAACAAATCTTAAAAGAGGAAGCTCATCGTTCATAACTTTCTACTGAGGATTTTGAAGAATCCTCTTAAATTAATAGCTTAAATAAGAGAGGGAAGATATAAAAGAAAAAGGATATGAATCAAGTTTATAAATCAGAAACAAAAAATATTCCAAAAAATTTTGGAGTATTATTGAAAAAATATTTAAGTATTCTATTTAACTTACAAATTTAGGTAATAAATGGAGAGAAAATGAAGCAATTAGGTAATTTGTAAATAATGGGGAGAACAAAAAGAACTTTTCTAGATAAGATTTTACTAAACTCTTTAATGATGAAGCAGCAGCATAACTATCAAGAGAGTACTTCTCTGGATTTCAAATAATACATGATCTTATGATAAGTGAAAAAATATAAGACATCAAAATCCATCTTAAATATATCAGCAAATTTTATAATTCTACTTTCAATAAAGAGGAGCTAGATGAATTAAAATTATAATGACATATGTTATTTTATAAATAAAAATCTTCCTTAATATTAATATCCTATGTAATAAACATTACTGTTTTCAAAATATCATAATTTACTTAGAATATTTAAAGGATTACATAGGTTAACTTAAATGAGCTGATGAATTTTGTAGATATAAAATAATAATTTTATTAATTAAATACTTTAATAAAATTCTACCTTATTTAAACTTTAAAGAAGTATTAATAGTATTGAATCAAACTAAAGCTATGGAATAATAGCTGAATAATTATTTATATTTATTATTATACATATTTACAATTTATAAAGGGGGGGGGGATGAAAATAATTATATTATAATACGGCTTATGACGGTAATATTTAGAGGGTAAAAATATTATTAATTTTAATACCTACAATGGAGGACAGCTGTGTCTCACACTTGCTATTATACACTACTCTTCCTGTCTAAAAATAATTTCCATAATAAAATGAATTAAGTGACTCATTAAGCAGTTAAGGAACTAATAATTAGGGGGAAATGTCATTCACTTTAAACGTAACAAGTCTACTTACTATGAATAGGAAGGGAGCAAAAGGTCTTAAGCTACTAAAAAGAAAATCAGCAAAGACTCACCTTAAAATCAAAAAAAAAATCAAGGTCATTGGTCAAGTTTAGAACATCAAGTTTATGTGGAGTTCCTCAAATTACATTATGACACTACTATGCAAAGTCAATAAAACAGAAAAAATAATAAAATCTTCAAACTCATGTCAATGACAATAGGAACAAGATCACCATCTCAATGCAGGTATAAAGTTATAATATGAAGATCACACCATTAAAAATTTAATCCGTTTACATTAGCTGGGCAAAAGAGAAACAAGAAGAATAAGAAGAGAATAAGTAAATATTGATCTTAATAATATTAGATGCTGAAAACATAACATCTACTAGCGAAGTTTAATAGTATTTCACACCAGAAATCAAATCTCAAAAAAGTAATAATTTAGTATTATTGAAACAAAGATCCCTATCATTTTGAGTATTTGTCTAATTATGAAGATTCCCGTCCTTAGTTATACAACTTTTGTTGTGATTCTAATGATGAGAGCGATTGGTGTTATAGATAAAATTGTAATTAGTACTTAGAAGGACTTCTTGACTGAAGTAGATTGTATTATATTTATATTGTTTTAAATATTTATATTATACAAAATATTGTTATAATTAAATTCTGATTTAATTAAATGGATTAGAGAAACAATTATAGACTTTTTTATTTATTTTTCATTTTGACTCATTATTTAATTTCATTATTTGTCGACATATACATAATTTAAATATATATATAAACATTAAAAAACAATTAATTAATTATCAAAATTAATAATTTAGGACTCTAAAAATTTTATTATTATTAATTATTGTGATCTAAAACATTGTATTTTTAATAATATAATTTATAAATATTATTATTATTCATTAAATACATTTATACATCATAATTATTAATATAATTATAATAGTAAAAATAATGGATTCTTTATCTTTGTTTAAGAAGAAACAATAATAAGAAATATAATAGGCTCTTGCATATGAAAAACATATTCGAGAAAAAGAACTATAAAAAAGTTAACTTGTGTTAAGATCTTGTGAAAGAATGTCATTAATTACTGATAGATAACTACAAAAATTAAAATAAAGCCAAATGTCTGTAGTTAAACACCAATAAAATGAGCATAGATTTAAATCATAGGAAAGTGATACAATACGTACAAGGTAATAAAGTTTCTTATATATATTAGACCTAAAGTAGAACTAGAGTAAGAAGCATATGAGAGATGGATTTCATCTCAAAAAAGGCAATTAAAAAGAATAGAAACAGAAAAGTTGAAGAAATTTGAGTCTAAAATTGAAAGAGCAGAAAAAATTAAGATAATGAAAGAATAAGAACATAAAAATAAATAAAAATTGCGTATTGAAACATTAATCTAAAAGGAATAAATTCACAATGAATACACACATAGGCTACATGTAAATATTCAGATTTACCATTTTAATTTAGAAATTATAGAAAAAAGTATACGCAAAGCAAATAAAGCTTGTTTGACCATTATATTATAATAAAAAAAGTTTGATAGTTAATTATATTCTAATATCTGGTTTTTTAATATTTATATAAGATTAAATGACTCAAAATAAAAAGAAAATATTAAATTAAATTTAATTCTTTTTTTGGCTTCTAATTTAATACTTTATAAATTAATACTCTATCTAACTTGTTTTACAATATCAGATTATTAGATTTAATAATTATTTTATTAATCATTTTTTTGATATTTTTCTTAATTTATTAATTTATTTATTTTTTTGTATTTTCTGATTAGATTAATAATAGAGATTAGATTTTCAAGAAACAGAATTTTAGATTAAATTATATAATTTCTAATAAGCAATGAAATTCTAAATTGATATTTATTTAAAGTATTCGTATGATTATCTTGATCATAATAATTAATATCTAATTAAACATTATTTATTTTATTATTGTTCTAATGATTTATTTAAAAACTATTTACAATATAAAAATAATTAATTATTCTTCATAATCCCCATATAAGTAAACCTATGTTATTAATGGAAAAAAATAAAAATAACCCTGTTCCTATAAACTTTGTAATTTTCGTTCAAATACAAGTAATTCTAATATACATTCTAATTTATCAATAATTAAATAAAATTTATAGGATCCAAATTTTGAAATACATTGTTAGAAATGACATAAATTATCTTACTCTCAAATAAACTTTATAATTATTCATATATGTCAGTATATTCCAAATTCTCCAGCTATTTAATAGTTTCCAGGCCCAGGTGTAATTGTTTTATTGCTTCCAAAACGTTCAACCTTTGAAAATTTAGTTATTTGGCAATTGCTCCAATTTGAATTAACATATTTTGGTGACATTTCAGTTCTAGGTCTATATTCTTAAGGTCCAGGAGTATCATCAGTTATTTGACCTGATCTACCAGTACCAAATCCAGCCACAAATGATTTAGAATGTTCTTTTACTTAAATATCATATTTTCCAGGTCCAGGAGAACATGTTTAATTGTCTATTTATAATGATTTTCATATACTTGGTAGTAATTTTAATCCAAAATGAGGAGCCTTATTAATTTATACTAAATTTTAAGCAATTTCATAAACTCCAACTGGAGGTACTTCACTTTTTTGTTTTGTTTATATTCTACCTACTCCCATAGTATGTTTTTTCAAATTAGTATTTTGATTTGACTTTTATTGTTATACTTGGTAATATCCTGGACCTGGAGTTTTTGTTCCTAATTTAGAAAAATCTACTTTTGAGCCAGATCCAAAAGAGACTCCTTTATTAGGAGAAACTAGATCAGATTTAATTGAATAAAAAGATGGTGAATTACTAATTAGATATTTAAAGGATTTACTCTCTTTATTCTTTGTAATTGAATCTTGGAGATTTAGGAAAGGTGTATAATTATTTACTTTTTGAATTATTTAAGGGATTCTATTTCACTTATTTGAATTATTCATAATTTTATGGACTTTTCATTTATAAGTTTTAATTAATTATATAATTATATGCTTTCATTTTAAATAAGCTTCAACGAATTATGATAAATTGATTTATGGTACTTTATCTTTGTCATCATCTTTTTAATTAAATGCATTGGCTGCATATTATAACATGCCTTTTAAATCATCTTCAGATATGTTCTCTCCTAAACTTTTAGCTACCATCATCAATTCCTCTAAACCTATAAATCCATTTGCATCTCTATCAAATACATCAAAGGCATCTCTTAAATCATTTTCTCCATTTTTTGCTTTTTCTTCCTGCATTAATAATAAATTCTTAAAATCATCAAAATCTAATTCTCTATCTTCTGCTCCTTCTACTTTTTAAGTGTGTCTCAATTCTTTAACCATAGATTATATTTCATCCTATGAGAAATTGTAACCTAGAGAACGAAAAACTGAAGTTAATTCTTAAACTATTAATAATGAATACAGAATACCTTACCAGATATACTTTTGGATGTATTCTTATCAAATATTTCAAATGCTTCTTTGATTTCAGCTTCCTTTTCTGCTAAGTCTTCTACTGTTTGTTATTACATTTATAAATAATTATAATCAAATTTTATCATTATAACAAATTTTAAATTTTCTATATCAATTACATATTAACAGAAGGAGCATTTTATTATTTTGCATAACCTTCTATTTTCACAAGAGATTTCATCATTCTTTCAAGTGAGATAGAGTCTTTTTTATAATTTTAATCTTGACGATATTTTTCATTTCTTTAAATTAAATCCTAATAAAATACATTATATTATTTACATATTCTATAGATTTCAATAAATTAATTATCTATTCTAAAGGTAATGTAGTAAGAATCTAAAAATAATGAGCAAGATCATAATCTGATTATTCAATAACAGATATACTTTAAATTAGATTCACTAATTTTTCATTGCTTACCTTATTTCTCCATTTAATAATCAATTCAAATATTATAGATAAATGTTATTTTGTATTAAATTTTCCCTTCTACTTTCTAAATTCTATCTAATCTATTAATAAATCTTGGAATTATGATTAATATGATGGTAATTAAGTTAATGATAATGCTAAAGATTACAAAGATGAATCATTGAATTTAGAGAAATCATATCTCAATAAAAATTTAATTAAATTTTCAATCAAAATATTAAGTTCTTTTGTTAAATACTTTTCTTTAATCTTTATTAATGATGATAATAATATAGTAATATCTTTAGAATCTAATTTATAAATTAAATCTGTTTATTGTATAAATTTATTTGTCATAGCCTTAAATAAATTTATTAAATCTTCAATAAAGAAACTTTCAGCATTTTCTTTACTTATACTTTTCACAATAAAGGCTAAATGTGGAAATTTCTTTACAAGCCAATCTTTTTTTGTTTCTAAATGTGGTAAAAGTAATTATAAAAGTAGTTTCCATTAATTTGCAAATTCAGAATTATAAAGATTCACTTGAAATTTTAAAACAGCCTATGAAATGATAAATATCATATCAAATTATTGAAAATGATTAAATTTCTTCAAATCACATTTTACAAAATTCTAAATATATAAATTTAATGTCTATTGATCAGCAATACCTAAAGACAAACTATGTGAGATCATTTAAAGGACTCCTATATTTATAGTGTTCAAATTTTAATTAATGTGTTTGAGGAGAATTTCTTTATTGGATTTATTACAAAATATATTTGTTTGATGTAAAGCCACAAGTAATGTCAACAATTATTCAAAGTTTATATTTTGTGTTTTCAAATATTCATTAAGAGTTGAATTAAAATAGGATTATTTGCCTTTATCCATAGATTCAATTATTTTTGAAAATTTGATATTACCAGTTGTAGAACTTAATTAAGAATCAGTATCAAATTTATCCATCTCAAATGATTAGAAAAAGTGATTGAGCTTTGAGAATTAGTAAAATTTTGCAAAATAAAATTGATTGCACAATTTTTGCACTATTAATTTTTTAAGCATTTTAATTATGAAATATTAATTGATAAAATATAATCATTTTCTTTAAAATAATGAAAGTAATGATTATGTTGAGCTCTATTCTGATAATTGATTAGTTTTTGATTATAATAATTTTTATAATCCTTTACTATTAAAATTTGTCATCTTTCTAACATCATCATCTGAATTAAATCTAGCTGTCTCAGGATTATCTTCTTCTGACAATTCAGTCAATTTAATCATAGTATGTTCTGTAGCTTTTAATAAAGGAGTAGATTTTTTAATTGGTTAAGTATTTTCTTTATTGTCTTTAATTTATAAAATACTAGAATTTGTTTATTAAGTTGATAAATCTTTTTTTGAATTATAACATTCTTAATTCTTTTTTAATATTGATTAATTGCAAAAACTTATTAGATTTTTTAAATGGATTGAAATATCAGCATTTTAATCACTAGGATTTACAGTAGTATTAAGTGTTTTTTAACTCTGTTAAGATTCCAATAAGGCTTTGATTTGAATATTAGCATTTGAAGAATTAGATTTTAATTATGGTTGACCAGTTGCATATTGACTAACTTATCTTTAAATATTAGTTGTTTCATTAATTGGTGAACTACTAGTATTTTTATGTTTAGTAAAACTATGAGAACTAACTTTTCTATTTAAATCTTCATGTGATTATAATTATAATCTTTTTTTATGTGTTAATGATTTTCCTACTACTTCTGTATGTTATTTTTTCAATTTTACATTCACTATTTTAGTATTTGGGNAATTTTAAAACAGCCTATGAAATGATAAATATCATATCAAATTATTGAAAATGATTAAATTTCTTCAAATCACATTTTACAAAATTCTAAATATATAAATTTAATGTCTATTGATCAGCAATACCTAAAGACAAACTATGTGAGATCATTTAAAGGACTCCTATATTTATAGTGTTCAAATTTTAATTAATGTGTTTGAGGAGAATTTCTTTATTGGATTTATTACAAAATATATTTGTTTGATGTAAAGCCACAAGTAATGTCAACAATTATTCAAAGTTTATATTTTGTGTTTTCAAATATTCATTAAGAGTTGAATTAAAATAGGATTATTTGCCTTTATCCATAGATTCAATTATTTTTGAAAATTTGATATTACCAGTTGTAGAACTTAATTAAGAATCAGTATCAAATTTATCCATCTCAAATGATTAGAAAAAGTGATTGAGCTTTGAGAATTAGTAAAATTTTGCAAAATAAAATTGATTGCACAATTTTTGCACTATTAATTTTTTAAGCATTTTAATTATGAAATATTAATTGATAAAATATAATCATTTTCTTTAAAATAATGAAAGTAATGATTATGTTGAGCTCTATTCTGATAATTGATTAGTTTTTGATTATAATAATTTTTATAATCCTTTACTATTAAAATTTGTCATCTTTCTAACATCATCATCTGAATTAAATCTAGCTGTCTCAGGATTATCTTCTTCTGACAATTCAGTCAATTTAATCATAGTATGTTCTGTAGCTTTTAATAAAGGAGTAGATTTTTTAATTGGTTAAGTATTTTCTTTATTGTCTTTAATTTATAAAATACTAGAATTTGTTTATTAAGTTGATAAATCTTTTTTTGAATTATAACATTCTTAATTCTTTTTTAATATTGATTAATTGCAAAAACTTATTAGATTTTTTAAATGGATTGAAATATCAGCATTTTAATCACTAGGATTTACAGTAGTATTAAGTGTTTTTTAACTCTGTTAAGATTCCAATAAGGCTTTGATTTGAATATTAGCATTTGAAGAATTAGATTTTAATTATGGTTGACCAGTTGCATATTGACTAACTTATCTTTAAATATTAGTTGTTTCATTAATTGGTGAACTACTAGTATTTTTATGTTTAGTAAAACTATGAGAACTAACTTTTCTATTTAAATCTTCATGTGATTATAATTATAATCTTTTTTTATGTGTTAATGATTTTCCTACTACTTCTGTATGTTATTTTTTCAATTTTACATTCACTATTTTAGTATTTGGGGATTTAGGTTAAGTTTATTAAGTAATAGTAGTTGGTAATAATTATTTTTTTATTCTTGTTGTACTTTAAGGATTTTATAAACGATCTGTATTGAATTAATATTATGATGGTGATTTTTATAGTTTATTTTATCTCTAAGAAGATTAAATCAAATTGCTGGTGGACGAATTGATTTGATTTAAATCCAATTAAGGAATCTTCTTACGTATTTGGATGTCGAGATTGCTTTCTTCAATAAACTAAGGAAGGATGTCTTTCAATTATTGGGCTTATTGGGATGTGATGGTAATTTAGTCAATATGATTTTGACACTGCCTTGACCGGATAATAGCATAATTTACCTTAATTAATGGTAGAATCAATAGTAGTGATGTTGCTTTCACTAGAGTTAAATCTAAATTTGAGTTTTGATTTGATTCTATAATGGAAATAACATGGAGCAATTCATAATCTGGCTCTTATTCTTTAGATAGGCATTATTCTAAATAATCCTTTTTAAGTTAACTTAAGTATAGCATTCTATGAACTATGAAATATATTCAAATAAATACTGTAATCTTTGGAATTCATATAATAAAAATACAAATTATTTAATTTTAATACTGTTAGATTGATATAAAATAATCATAATTCTTATTTTGAATAGTGATCATTAATCCAATTACCAAATATTTAAGAGATTTCAATCCTAGCTTATTTTAATTAATCACAATCTTAATCAGTAGGTGTATACAATTCAACACAATGTCCAGCATCAGTACAATTAATATGATAAACATTGAAATTTCCTTATTATTCAATAATACTCACCCATTTCCATGGATCTTCATCTCCATTAGTAAATATTATATTATCAATTGATAAATCAAATCCTCCAAAATAAGCATTTCCTTTATCTTCATCTGGCCATAATTTCAATTCCTCACCATAAATATCTTTACAATATTATTTATAGAATTCAATATCTAATCTATCAGATCTTAAAGAATCAAATTCTGGTGCAGTTTACCACCAACCAACTTCTGTACAACATTGATATTTCCACTATCTTGATGATCTAAGATTATTTTCATCATAAACATCATCCTTCAAATAATATGATCCATATGATTATGGATTATCTTCAATTAGAGCTCTCTATATAAAATAATCCATCTATTCATTAATAGTCTTCCCTTTTAAATCATTACATAATCTACTTCTTCCACCATATTAAATTTTTAATATTATAGCATCTGTAAAATAAAATAAAAATTCCTCTTCTGTTAATTTCTCTGCATTTAATCTCATTCTTATAGTTTCTAAATTTTCTTCTGCATATTAATTTAAAGCCTTTAAATTATCAGCACATTCTTATCCTGATTTCATAGCACTTTAATAAACTTATGTATCAAATTTAGGAAAATCTGTAAGAATTTAAACAACTGCTGATGATGCTAATGCTCCCACTACTAAATGTGGGTATTAATATCTATACCATGCAGCCATTGCACCAGGATATGAACCTCCTATTGCAATCCATGGATGACTTTACTTAACTCCAAATAATTTATTTTACACAATATACAATTAAAAATAAGCCAAATCATCTAATGCTTATCTTATACCTAGATATCTTATATTATTATTTTATTATTTTACTTTAAATTTTCTATCTTTAATGCTTCCTTTTCAAATGGCATACTTTTACCATAAAATCTATGTTCTAATACTACAATCAATGCTTTATGAATCTATGCTAATTCAACTGGAAATAATCTCTCCTTTCGTATTCCTGGACCTTTAATTGATTTAAATTCTTCAAAATACATGTATATTCTCCACAAATCCAAAATAATATTGCTCCTCCATCTGGTTAAAAGTATTCTTCAACTGTCCAATATCTTTATCTAAATGTCTATTTGTTAGTTCTATCATAATGATCAATCAATTATTATTCAAACCATCTTTCAGTTTAAACATAACCATTCACTCCAAAAATAGAGATCAATAATATAATTGATATTTAATACATTCTCAAAATGAAATTTATTAATTTTACTTAATTAACAATTTTTTCTTAATATGAGAAAAATAGGTCCCTATCCTAAATATTAATTTAAGTATTCTCAAGATGATTATCCTTATAATTTAGAATATAAGAAATCAGCTTAAACCTAAAAATAAATAGATCCTAATAAATTATAAGAATTTTATATTGAAATTACACCCACAACAGTCTAATAAGTAACTGATGAATTAAGTCTCTCTATTCTTCAAGGTATTGATGAAGGAAAAGATCTCATTTATGTTCGTTTTGCTGAAACTGGTGGACATTGTATAAATCTAAAAAATTTGAGGTTGATCAATACACTAAATGGAAAATCCAGATAGATTTATTTAGAAGTACCTTTAGGTAGAACACTTCTTAAATAATACAATAAAGCATAGATATCACCACAATAATCCAATTCAAAATTAACTTATACATAATTCCATTGGTTTGAAAGGAATAATGGAAAATTTAAACCTTTATAATTATCAATTAGTGATACAATTGAAAACTTCTATCAAAATGCTTGTTAGACTGGAGTTTCAATCTATGAATTTACATGGCAATAACATAGATTTATTGTAGATCTTAAAGAAAACACACTTGAAAATACAAATACCTTAACAATTAATCATATTTAAAGGAGAAATATAGAAAAACAATATTATGAGGAACCAAAAAAACCAATTAGTAGAGGAGCTTTAAAAGAAATTATATGGTAATACTAATTATAACCAAAATCATATGAATGGAATAATTATGATTAAGAGAATACAGATGCACTTGAAAAAGCATATTAAAAATATTGTAAAAATTCAACTAAATAAAATACTTTAAAAGTAATTAGAAATACTTCAAAATATTATATTGATTTTGATAAGATGATTGAATACAATTTATTAAATAAAGAATCACGATAGATTCGTAGATTTCTTTAAGAAGGTTGATTAAATGTTAAATAATAAATACTTATAAATATCGATTTAATTATATTAGTTAATATTATTAAACATATTCGTTAATCTAATGTCAAAGAATCAAGAGAAACTAAAAAAGGAATTACTTGAATAAGTAAGTAGAGATGTTCAAAATACTTAAGACCCTCAGAAGGAAGCATTTAAATTAGTTTAAAATGCAAATGAAACCTTTAAATAATTTGAATCTGCTCTTAAAAAACCATTAGATGATGAGATGTTAAAGTAAAGAGGTTCATCCAAAAAAAATGTCTAATTTGCTGATACCATAAAATCTTCATCAGAAATGGATAGATCAAAATCAGTTGAAAATAAAAAAGAAGAAAAGCCAATCCTATAACCATAAATCAAATAAAATGAAATTAAAGCAATTGTACCTGATCGTTAAAGTAGAAGTACAAAAAAGGAAGGGAAAGTAGAAAAGCCAACACAAAAAATAAATACTAAATAAGATAAGCCAACAACTGTCATTCCAGAAAAAAAGCCATAACAGCCATAACAAAAAGAAAATTAAGACTCAAAGAAAAGTAATTAATTAGATTAATCTTAAAAATAATAATCAACATTACCTTAATAATAGAATCAAGATAGAGAGAGAATAAATTAATATTAAAAATAAGTATTATCTGAAAGTGAATCTTCAAGTGGGTAAGATGATATTAAAAGAGAGAAAGGTAATCATAGTCATTCTTGCAGAAAACATTCAAAAGAGAGAGAAATTGCTAATAGATATGAAGAAATAATTGTGAAAAATTAAGAATCTGCTTAATAATTATAAATGTAATTGAATGAATAAAATATTGAAAAAACTAAATTAATTACAGAAAATACTAAATTATCTAGTATAAATGATATGCTATAATAAGAAATAAGAAATTTAAATAAATAACTTAGTTAGTCTAAAATGTAAATTGAATAATTAGATAAATAATTATATGATTTAAAATAAGCTTCTAGATCTGAATTATTAATTGTTAAAGATTAACTTTAAGAATCTAAATTTCAATGTGCAGAATTAGAAAATAGAAATAATTATTTAAATAAAGCCAAAGATACATTTGAATAGAATTTAAAATAATTTGAATCAGAAGTTGGAAGATTATAAAAAATCAATTTATAATAAACTTAAGTAGCAGCCTAAGACAAATTGGCTATTTTAGAGAAGGATGGTACTATTGAAAGATTATAGAAATTAAATCATTAACTAAGTGTTGATCTCAATTAAATAAATACTTTATATAAGGAAGTTAATGAAAAACATAAGAGTTTATTGGCAGCTTATAATAGTTTAGAGAATTAGAAAATTACAATAGAAAATGATTTAGAGTTTAGAAAGAAGGATCAATAAGAACATTTGAGTAGTTTAAAAGAAAAAATTTAGAAACTAACAAATTAGAAATCTATATATGATGATGAATTGTAAAAAATGCAATAAGCTACTTAAGATGCTAAGGCTGAAAGAGATTAATATAAATTATAATATGAATAAATGAAAGTGTTATGTTCAGAATCTGAGGAATTGAGAAAAAGATTAAAATTAAGAGAAGTAGAAAATGAATAATTATAATGTGAGAATGATAAACTAAAATGGAAAGTAAGAAAAGATCCAAATGGAATTTTATCAGACTTAAAAATAATGAAATTATAAGCAGAAGATCCTAATGCCAAAGTATCAATGGAACAATTATCTAAGTTAGACAATTAAGTAAGATAATTATAAGAAGAGAATAATAGGTATATATTAATATAATTATATTTAGATTAACGGCAGAAAATAAATAATTACTTAAATAAATTTAATAAACTGAATTATATGTACAAGAAGTGAAATCTATGTTTGATAGAGAGAGATCCTTTTTGGAAGAGAAAGTATTTCATAAAGAGAAGGAAATTAATGAAATGATTATAAGACATCGTCATGAAATGGCTGAAATTGAAAATAAATATCATGATCTTTAAAGGAGACAGGAAAATGATAACAAAACTAGATAGACACATCAAAACTATCAACAATAATCATACTCCCAATATAATTAAAATAGTGTAGCTTAACAATCAGGTTCTAAGGTCTCTCCATATAGTGTGCCTTAATTATAAGCAAAAATTAAATCCTATATTTGATATCTTAAATATTATTATAATGATTTTTTTTATTTTACTTATTCTTCTTTTAGCAATAATAATTACATTATTGTTTTCAAAACTTAATAAATCAAAAGGTTCTTGTGTTTTGAGCCTCCCTTAATCTTCTAATAAAAAATATAAAAGAATAGTAATGATTAATGATAAATTAAGAAAAGCACCCATATATTAATTATCTAAGCTATAGCCACACAGGACAAAGATAAAACTCAATTAGTATTGCTATTAATTAATAAATCTGAAGTAATAATTTTTATTCTACCATTTTTGTAAGATATTTTATTATACTCTGAATTGAAGGCATATGCTACTTAAAAAAAAACTAACTCTTCACTTAACTTTAGAGAATGTAATTAATAATTTTCTCTAATTATTAGCCTTCAGCTTAAAGGGTTGAATTTTCTGGATCTGTCACTTAAAATATGACTTAAAAAGTATTTGGTAAATTAAACAATCAAACTATGACTTTGATTTGTGCTCCTCATACAATTAAATCAACATATAGGAATAGTTTCTAATATTTTGGAATAAAAGATAAAGATATTTTTGAGTTCAGAGAAGAGAAAATTGCCGAATGACAGTTTAATATATAGAAATCATATTTATTATAATTCTTAGCGTAATATAAATAAATAAGATATTGGTTTTTTAAGAGTAGAGTGGAATAAAGGGATGATACCAATAGAATTTATATATATACTGGATAATATAAATTATAAAAGTATTCGTTTTTAAGAGAATTAATGATTAGCATTAATATTAATATATTATGAAGACAATCCTACTTGTATTGTTGAGTGTGTAGATCTTATTAGCATAGGATCCTTGGGTAACCCATTATACAGCATTTACATCAGCTGAAATAAATGACTTAGATGGTATTGATTGATAATTAATAATTAGGTTGGGTTGTAAAGAAAGCATTTAAAGGAAACACTTTTAGTAAATGTGATAAGATTAGTTTGGTTGGTGGATATGGAGCATTTGGTAAAGGAGCAACTGCATTAAAATAATTAACACTACCACCTCATTATAAATTAAAGATCAATGTACAATTATGGAAGTAATATTGATTAAATAACTAAAATAATAGAATTGATAGTTGGGATAATGAAATAATGTTTGTTTTGGTTGATGGTTTCATTTGGCAAGCAAAATGGCACTATTCTGAAGGTGCTAATTTATGTGGAGCTGCTAATGATTGGAAAGAAGCCTTTTATAACATTGAATTTGAAGTTCCACACAATTCACCAACAGTAAGTATAGTATTGACATCAAATTTGGATGAAGATGCATTGAATGTATAGATAATTATTATAAATATAATAGGAATCATGGGCATTTAGAGATTTCAAATTATCATTCTAAAGATGTCATCCAGAATGTGCAGTATGTGGTGATAATAAACCAGATAATTGTTTCTTTTGGACAAATGTAGCTACTAATTGGAATAAATAAATTTCATTAGAAGGATGGACATTAGATGGAGAAGGAAAAGCTGAAGCAAATGAATGTGCAGGAGTATAACTTTTTGGTGGTTTTGGAAAATTAGGAAGAAAAGCTAATTTATGGAAGAGATTCACAAATTTACCTCCACACTTTTAAGTTAAAGTTAAGGTTTAAATGTGGAAGATTGATTCTTGGGATAATGAATTATTCTTAATGGAAATTGATGATTAAGAAAAATTTAGATAAGCCTTTGCTTATAATGAAGGTGTTGATCTTTGTGGTGTTGATACAGGTGCAAAATAAGGAGAAGGATGGGCTGAAAAGATTGTTAATATTGAAATTAATGTTCCTCATAAATTCCCTGAAGTAAAAGTTTTAATGAAATCAACATTGGATGAACCACCTGAAAATGAATCATGGGGAGTTAGAGATTTCTAATTATTTGCTGCTTAATGTTTCAAAGGATGTACAGGTTGTACTGGACCAGCAAAATCTGATTGTACTTCATGTGGTTAAGGTTTTGATTTAGTGAATGGTGAATGTAAAGAAGGAAGTAATTTATTATATTTATATATTGATTAGTTAAATGGATGACATTAAATAGATTCTTCTTTAATGATGAATAAGATTTCTAAGGATTATAAGATTGGATTCCATCAAATGTTTTCTAAAATTAAAATCCATTCTCAACATGTGGACAAAAGAAATTGTTTGGTGGTTATCAAAGATTTGGTGTAAGAGCTAAAGCTGAAAGAAATTTCAATCTTCCAAAACATTCTAGACTCAGAATTCAATTCTAATTCTGGAAGATCGATTCATGGGATGATGAAAAATTCTAAGTCTTTGTTGATGGAAAAGTTGTATTTGAAAGATCATTTGGATTCAGTACTCCAGGATAAGCCAAAATTTGTGGAGCTCCTTAAAGTACTTGGATGACTTATTTCTTCAATGTTGATGTCATTATTGAACATACTAATCCTACTGCTAACATAGTTTTAAGTTCTACATTAGATCAAGGTGCTGATGATGAATCATGGGGTTTCAGAGAATTCTAATTACTTTATGAATTAAAAGAAGATTGTGTTGAATTGTATACTGAATGTGGATTCAAGGGAACTAAATATGAAATCTGTAGAGACACTCCATCACTTGCAAGAGTAATAATCTATTTAAATTATCTTTATAGGAAAAAATCAGTTAAGTTAAATCTATCAAGATTCCTCCTGGTGTAATAGTATAAGGATTTGATGAAGAAGTTTATAAAGGAAAAACAGTTAAATTCTCATAAAGTTAAGATTGTTTAGAAGAAATCTAATTTTCTTTTATTCAAAAAAAGTTTGAAATTATTCAAGCTGATGATTCTGTTTTGGCTGCAAATTTAAGACGTATCAGATTTGATTGATTTAAAATAAACATAATTATTATTAAAATTAATTATTTTACATTTGTTTAATACAAATCTTACTCATAATTAGATTAAGTTCTTATATAAGACATAAACTAAATAACAGATTTTAGTATTAATCAATTAATTCTTTCATTAATTTAAAGTTTAACATTTCATATTTACAATATATTATTTCTAATAAATTCATTTAAAATGAATAATTATAAAAATACAAGTGATATTAAGCTAAGCAATTCATCACCTAATTTCATTTCTATTAACTATGATGGCTCTTAATTTATCATTCTAAGGAATACTTATTTAACATTATATAGAAAAGTTGGAAAATGTTATTAAATTTTATAAGAATAGAGTAATTTTATATCTAATTGGGACATTTATGATTTAATGATTCATCCTTATGAAAACTATTTAGGGGTTGTTCACAAAAAAAATCACAAGATTTACTACACAAATTTTAAATTTTTACAAAAATACAATAAATGGCTCATTAATTATCATCATAAACTTTTAGATGTTGATTTATCACTTCATTTTCCTTTAAATTTTAATATAAATCCATCTTTAAACTTAATCAACACAAATTGCAATTAAGCATTATTGGAAGACTTAATGGGATTATTTTAATTTTAAGTTAGATAACGTGTAAAGACTTTAAGAAAATACAAAATTTAAGGAGAAAATATAAAATATTTTGACGAAAAAAAACTCATTTTATCAATATGTGGTAAAAGATTATTAATATATAAATACTATCATTTTACACCTTTATATATATATAACGCAAGATGTAACATTTTTGATATAGCATTTAATGATAAAGGCTTAGTCTTTATATTTTGTTCAAGTGGTTTGATAATTTGGAATTTAAATACATAAAAAAAATAATAATTAATTCAATTAGATCCTATATTGTAAAATCTAAATAATCAATTATAATTGTATTATTTAATAGGAGTAATGATTTTTTCAACATCTGATTAAACTTATTATTATCTTAATTTAGATGAAAATAACGAAAACAAAAAACCAATTAAAAATTAAAAAGAATAATAAAAATTCATAACTAATGCTAAAGGCAACATCTACTTAATGTTAGAATATAATCAATCAAAAAGAAAATCAAACAAAATAAAAGTATTTGAATTATAATGACTTTATAAATATATTATTTATGAATTTATGTTTTACATTCATTAATGAAATACATAAAATTGAAAGTAATATTTGATGAATGTGTTAAAAAGAGATTAAAGTAATTTCTTATTGTTTAATGAATATTCAAACTTTATTAATTTAAAATGTAATATTAAATTAATTAAATATATACTTATGTTTATAAAATTTGGAGTTAACATTTTAGCACATTTTGACTCAAGAAAATACCTTCATAAGATTTAAGAATGAATATTAACATTATAAATTTTAAAATTATAATATTATAATTGTTAAAAATATAAAAATTAATTTGTATACAATTCATAATCTAATAAATACCATTCAAATAAATAAAATTAAATTGTTGATAATAAAAAAAAATCCATTTATAAAAAGTTAAAATAACGACTGAAAAATAATAACTCTATAACTTAATATTATATTAATCTAAATATAGGTAAATAATGAATTATCTAATATTATAGTAAATGAAACTAATTAAATACTAAAAAATCAAAGGATATCTTTGGAGAAATCTGTAATTATTTGTACATCTTCATCATCTATAATGATAATATTCTGTTCTTTTTTTTAAACTTATTTCTATTTAGGTGAGCCTTTAATTATGTTTGGATAAAATAATTATTAATTTTAAATTTACCATGTTGTAGAAACTTAATGAGCATTACTATTATAAAAAGTATCTTAAATTGTATGATTATTTTTGTCACTTTTTATTACTTAATCTATATAGTTTTATTTTTATTCTTCTCTCGTTTTATTTGAATTAATAATTTACATTTTTTGTTATTTTTCAATCGATTACAAGTCTAGAGGAATTTAATTTTAATCTATTTCTTTGAATTAAAATTCAGGTATAATTTTCAGATTCTCTTATTATTTATTATTTTATTTGAACTTATGGTTTTATTTTTATTTTCGAAATTTCTTTTTAAATTTTCTTCTTTTTATCTTAAATTTAAATGTATTTTATTTATATTATTTAATCTCTATACAATTTTTATTAGGTTAATAAATAATCTAAGAATCAATAAATTTAGCTTATTTTGCTTAATCCCAGATAATTTTAAATTATTCTGTAAATTATTTTGCTGTTTTAGAATCTTTAATAATTGAAATATGTTCAAAATTATTTGAAAATGCTTAATAGGTCCAATTTGCACTTCCTAAGATAGTTAGTTTACCATCAATTACACAATATTTGTTATGCATTAAACCTTTAGATTCAATCAAAGAAACATTAATTTTGAATCCACTCATAACTAAAAGTTTGTTGATTGTTATTTGTTTTCTTTCCTCAAATTCTTCTGAATTTTAATCCATAAGTATTTCTACTCTACAACCTTTAGTAGCTAATGAAATCAGTATATCAATAATAGTTTAATGAGTCAATTAATAAATACAACCCAAAAATGTAGACTTACATCTTTTTAGTTTCCTACAAAATCTTGAGAAATTATCTTCATTTGGAAAAAACAAATGTATAACTTCAGCATTAGAATGTTTATTTCTTTCGTGATGCATATGAATACAAAAATAATA